GGCAGCGAGGAGTAACGACGAAGAGGTGGCTTTCGCGTGGTGAGGGAACGCGTGGTGGTTCAGTTCAGATTGGGTCGGGGAATGGAAGCGGAGGCGGGGGGTAAGAGAGCGGGAGGAAAAAGAAGAAAGGACGTTGCGTCGGTGCGTCGGTGCAGTGCGGTATGGTTAAGGATGGCCGCTGGATGCGAGGGCGTTGGGTTGCGACACGAGACCACCGACCAAAGGCCAAAGACGGGGGGGTGGTGGGAGGGGGGCGGCGGCCAGGGCCAAGGGCTGGACCAGTAGGTAATAAGGTAATAAAGGATGCCGCTCGTCTATAGGCACGAGAGTGAGAGGTTGACAGAGAGAGACAGAGAGAAAGTGCGGGAGAGACTAGATGCGGGCAAGGCGGTGGCCGGTGCGTTCATTGGGAGCACCAGAGTGGCTACTCAGAAGCTGGGAGCTGGAAGCTATAGTTGGAGGGAGCTGGGGGGTAGCTCTCGAAGGGGGCCGAGGATGGGGAATGCTGCTGCCAGATGTGGAGGACGTTGTGGTCGTGGATGGAGCACAACCGCTGATGGTCCTTGGATGACCGGCAGGATGTGGGAGGGAGGCTTCCTTACCCGTAAGTAGGCTGGAGACGAAAGAGAAGTGCGCGAGTGGAGTGGAGGGAGGGGAGGAAGCGGGGCCATCGAGGAGGGTCCAGAGGGTCAAGCAGGGGTCCCACCCGGGGGAGATGGCGATGGGGGGAGGGCAGGGCCCAGACTATCGTCCCTACCCAGGTACTTTTTAGAGTGGCAAGCATACATCACGCATCATACCTGTCTGCTTCTTTACCTCGTTGCGCTATACCTGTGCATCACTGGTAACGGGACCCAGGCAACCCTGAGCGTCACAAGGTCACAAGACGGCGAATTGAGGGGTGCACCTTAGCACCACACCTTCACGAATGTGTCAATCGAAGGATAGTGCGGGGAAGGCAACAAAGGGTCAGCTTGCTCCCGATTCCCTTCAGGCTACTACGCATCGCCGCTGCTTCCTGTTGGTGGCCTTGTAGCTCCACACGCGGACGAGGCAAAGCGGCGACCCAATGGAGAAAGGTGCCAGGGTCAGAAGGGCAAAACAGAACAGAGTTGTGGCTGACCCAGCTGGAAATCGAATGGTGAGACGAGATCGGTCTTGAGGGGAAGGGGGTAGAAGCGCGCCAGAGGCAGAGGGGGGAAGGGGAAGAGGCACGGAGCAGCACGGTTGGGGGTGTTGGAGAGGGCCCGGTCGAAGGTGTACAGGGGAGGCCTAACCTGAGTGTGCTGTGATAGTAGTAGTAGCCTTGGTCCTGGTCCTGGTCCTGGTCTTTTGGACGTGCCTCCCAAAAGATGGGGAAAAGGTCAGGACCGGGAGCCGGAGAGCACCACTGTAAGGACGGGAGTGGCAGATGGGGGGTCTCGGACTGTATGTGTGTGTGTGTGCGTGCGCCATGTATGGGAGGTCGGCCCACTGCGACAGTGCTTGAAGGGTGCTTTATTCGTAGCGTTAGAGCGGATGCCTAACAGCATCCTTCTAGGCGGACGCCTGAACAACAACTTTGGAATATGAGTTGGTCTGGTCTCGTATGGATGCCGGACTCTTGCATTTCTCATTCTTACGTTGAAACCTCTTGTTGAAAAACAGAGGCTGCATCATAAGCATGAGTTGAACCACAGGGCAGGCGAAAGAATGTTCATGCGCTTGCATAAATGCTCCTCATCCTCTGGCTCTGCGAGTACCCAAGCCGACCTCTCCTCTACTTAGCCCCTCTGAATGGCTAGAAGTGTCGACCTGCAGCACATTGGCAGGAGGCACCTGAACCTCTCTGCGCCGGGGGACCGAAGGGTACCTAGCTCACCTGCAACTGCAACTTACCTGCACCTCAACTGCAACTTACCTGCACCTCAACTGCACCCTGCACCTGCACCTCCTGCTGCTCCTGCACCTTGCGTTCCATTCTCCTCCACCTGTTGCTGCGCTATACTGTACCAACCAGGATCGGCCGAATCGACATACACGGGCCGCCAGCAGGGGGATGCTCGCTTGCCATGCTCAAAACCTTTCTTCAGCACAGCATCAAGCTACCCACTCATCATCACCTCAAGCCGCCCTCAATTGGACTTGAAGGAGATGGTCCCTCTTACTGGCCTTCCCACATTGCTTCCATGCGTCACTGGCACAAGTCGGAGCCATGGCCACCTCCGCAGCCCATCCACCAATAAGACTGGGGTCGCCTGGCCCGACACATACTGCGTACACATGAATTGCCTAGGTACCTAGTGAACAGCACCCCAGGCGAGGCAGAACCAGGGTTGCCATTGGAGGCGCTGTCGAAGCTTTATTGGCCCTGTGAGCCTGCCACCGCCGCCCAGAAGTGTAGTGTAGCACGGAGAAGCTGTCGATCAGACATGAGTAACTTGGTCGCCTGCTCGATTACCTGGGACACTCCAGTACATCGAAGGCTGGGTCCCCTAGCTTGTGGCGATCCTCTGCCAGACCACCACACACCCCCTCTTCTCCGAAAGCCGCGCCCAACCAACATTTCGACCCTCAAGACCCTTCCAGCCCGTCCGTCCCTCGGTCCAGCGTCGCAGCCTACTGCTTGCCATTGTAACGAACAATTATGCCCGTCACTCGGCACTGAGCCCTCATTCCGGCATCGACGCTCGGAAGATCAGCCTGGCGATCCCCCAAGAAGGGGTTCCGAGCATGTGGCAACGCGGCAAGCAAGCAAGGCACAAACAGGAACAGGTGGCTACCATGACGTTCCATGGCCATCTCTAGGCGTCCTCGTGAAGGCCGGCGTGGTGAATCCTATTCCATCGGCTTGCGCCGTCCGACGCCGGTGCATCGATACTTCGAGACCACCACAAGCTGACGCCTCCCATTCCTCCTTGGCTCTCCGACCGCCTGCGTGCTTCCCGTTTCTAGTTTGCGTTCTATCTGTTGTATGCACCCAGACCAGGACAATTTTCTCCTGTAGGCCTGCAGGGCGTGGCCTCCGAGCCCATGCGGCTGCTGTCAAGCCATAGAACTGTCCGAGGGCGCTGAGGAGGGGGGCGGGGCCATCGTGCGGCCACGTCCCGTTACTTCATCGCCGATCCCTTCTCCTTTGTTTCCCCCATCCCCACGGGGAAAACTGGCGCTCCGAGCTGCGTGTCGTCAAACATCCGGCATGGGGTCTGTTGCGAGACTGCGGTAGGTAGCAATTTACTGCAATGATCTGCGCCTTCTGGATCCCGTCGAAGGAGAAACGACGAGCGGTCCATGGCCTGGATTGGATTGCCATCTTGCTAATAATTGAGTTGACAAAATCACAAATTTTGCTTTTGCCTGGCTACCAGGACTGTTCAGTTGAGTTTCTCCACGGGCGCTTGGGCGTCACCAGATTTGAGGCACCTACGTTTATGCTGGAAATTCAATTGAACAGGTGGGAATTTCACACTCTTCTTCGCCACGAACATCCGCCTTGTTGCTCATGAAACAAAACAAGATGCGTCTTAGCTGGGTCACGGTGGATTCCTCGTCGTACTAGCATGGCGGGTACGAATCGGGTCCATATCAAAGTTGTAAGGCAATGTGCATTGGTCTGGCGTCATCCAGCGTGCTGCTGGCGGATGGGAGGCAGCACTAGAGGCAGTCCGTCCACGGGTGTCGTCAGAAGGGTGTAGCGGAAGGCTAGGCCGGGTGGGCAGCGCCCGCCGTTCGCCGACGGTTTCGACACAAACGCCACCTCCCGTCAGACGCATTGCATTGATCATATCAGACTCTGTTGCATTCGTCATCCTGATAGCGACTGCCAAGGCAATGGCAATTCAACCCGGCCAGGCATGATATCATGGGCTCTTGCAAAGTCACGCCCAGCGTTCGGTGTTTGCATGTACAGCAGGTGGACATGCTTGCAACAGCACATGGAGCCAGATCAGCATTGGCCATAGTGACCGATTTCAGGCTTGGAAAAACAGGTTCTCATCAAGTCGTGCCGCGAGATGCCAGCGCTCGTCACAACTCAGATGCCATGCCGTGCCACAGAGAGCGTGGTGAGCGCCGTTGTGACCCCCGCTACATGAACATTGTACATGTACACCCAACCTGGCCTGGGCCTGATCGAAGAGCAAAGACGTGAGGGGTCTACCCCGGATTCCCCACGCATGGTGGCCCGCATCGTAGATTAAACCACGCCATGTCGCCGGCGCTGCAACGGTGCACGGAAGAATGAGAGGGAAACGGAAAGGGGGGGGAGGAGCCTGGGCCGACCGGTCAACGGTGATACGATGCCGTGCATGGGTTTCTGGTGACGATCCGCATCAGCGTGCAGGGAGCGCGAGTTCCAGACCAGGACGAGGCTCGAGGATCCATCTGCGCCGTGGATCTGCGTGTCTGTTCGATGGAGGAACAGACGAAGGGAACCCGACCCGGCAGTGACGGGTCCCAGCGTGCAGGCCACGAACGACATGGGCGGAGACGCAACGGCGCACAACGGCGCACGGTTGGGCCATTGACTAGACGGCCATCATACGGCGGCAACTCCCCTTCACCTGGATGTGGACCATGTCGACAAGAAGATCTCAGTCGTCTGAGTGCCTGCACAGCTGGAACCCAGCGGCGGCTGCGCGGATGACGCCTGTTCCCCCTCATGCATCTGATGTCTTCCATACTTGTTGAGACGTCAGTCAGTCTTGAGCTCCGTGGCGGCTAATGCACCCTTTGCTGACAGCCGACTTGCACGAGCACTGCGGACGTACATCAGTGGACGAAGGATTCTTACTTTGCTGTACATCAGCCTACGCTCGACACACATTCCTCCGGTTGATTTAGGAGTGTGGTGGGGGGTAGGTCAAGGAGTTGTTTCGATTCGTTGAATCGTAGGTATCAAAAAGTACACTGGCGGGAAGGACACGTCCGCCTTCGCGACGAGGCCCCCATCTCATGCTTCATCGTACACCATCCCACACCACAGGGCCAAGTGACAGCTCGCCCGACAGCAGGACTCAAACTCAGGCCGTGGCAGCCTCGCCCTTTTGCGCCTTGAGCTTCTCCTCAAACTTGGCAAACTCCTCGAGCGCAATGTCCTCCTCGGGGTCCATGACCTGGTTCACGCTCTTAACTTCCTCGATCTGCATATTTTGTCAGTACGCATAACAGGCAGAAATGCCAAAAAAAAAGGAGAAAGAAAAAAAAAGAAATACTCACATAGTGCATGAGCATGCCCTCGATGCCATTCTTCAGCGTCACGGTGCTCGAGTCGCACGTGCGGCACGCGCCCCGGAGCTTCAGCAGCACGACGCCGTCCTCGAAGCCGCGAAACTCAATGTCGCCGCCGTCCTCCTGGATGGCGGGGCGTATCCTCGTCTCGAGCAGCTCCTTGATCATGCCGACGACCTCGCTGTCGTCCTCGTTGTAGGCGAGGCTGTCCTCCTCGGCGGGCGCGGCCTCGGCGCCCTCCTTGACGACGACGAGGGGGGCGCCCGACGTGATGGCCTCGGTGATGAGGGCGAAGATTTCGGCGCGGACGTGCGCCCAGTTGGCGTCGGCGGCCTTGGTGACGGTGATGAAGTCGGCGCCGTAGAAGACGGCCGTCACGCCGTCGATGGCGAGGAGCTGGGCGGCCAGCGGCGAGGGGTGCGGCGGCGCGATCGTGGCGCGCGGGTTGAGGTACTCGATGTAGGGGACCGAGATGCCTTCGGGCAGGACGCGGTGGTTGGGGAGGAACTTGAGGGCGTCGGGGTTGGGCGTCGGCTCGGTCTGGATGAAGATTGTGCGGCGCTGGGAGGGAAGGGTTGTGGCGGCGGTCTTGCGCAAGACGGATGGTCGGGAGGACGAGGAGGAGAAGGATGTGAGTGTTCGGCGGGTGACGGCTGTTCGGGATGCTGTGCGGAGAGACGGCGCCGCTGCCCTCGCTGGGCGGGCCAGCGCTGTGAGGAGACGGGTCGCACGGTAGGGAGTCGACATGTTGTTTTACGTATTCTCCCAGGGATGTCCACTGCTGACGAAAGGAATTGAGTGACTGTGGTGGTGTCGTGGTTGGTGTGTGAAGTTGAGTATCCGATGGTCGACTCGGCGCCGCCGCGATTTGGTCTTTCAGCAGCAGGGGTCCAGCGAGAAGGAGAGAGGCGACCGAGCTTTTTCGCCGCTCAGTGCCGACGCATTACCAATCCTCCAGTGAGTGGGCTCCATCCCCTCCTCGGAGCTCTTCGTCTCTCGTTCCCTCTCGGCCCTGCGCTGCCATGACGCAAAGTGGAGACCAGCACCAGCGAATGGGCCACGTCTTCCGATGAACTGCCGATTGGGCGTGGCCCGGTGGAGTCCTCAACCGCTGGCAGCTCCCTTCTTCCCCTTGCAGGGCGCAGAGTGCAAATCGCGGGGAGGGAAAACGCGACGGGGGCCAGCTACTTTTTTCCTCTGAGCCTGTGGTGGTCTCTCTACTCTGGCCGACCAACGGCTTTTCACCTCAGCCTCTCCCCGCCACCAAACCTCGACATTCCTCTGACGGCCACCTCGACTCCGGGGCATCTTTTTCTTGCGCAAGCTTTCTTTTGCGCTAGGACTGACTGCAGGGCCCTGTTTCGCCGGGCAAGGCAACATGTCTGTGCCCGAGGAAGCGCTTGCCGGCGGCGATGCCAGGACCACCCATCCGACAGCCATGGAGGTGGACTCGCCGGTCGAAGCCACGCCTTCAGAACCCAATGGCATTGTGGCAGCTAACACGAACCCGCCCGTGACGAACGGCACCGACACGACAGCTCAACCGTCCACCGACCAAGCGCCCGACGGCGAATCAGCGGGTGCCAACAACATTGCACCACCGCCACCGCAACCGCGCCTCTGCGGCGTCTGCAACGAAAAGCCCGGAAAATACAAATGCACGCGCTGCAGCCTCCCCTTGTACGTCATCACCTTGTAACTTCACATCTCGATCTCATAAGCAGTGTGGCCTCATGCTTCATTATCATTACGTGTTTGCTAACCAACGCTTTCTTTCCTCCCACGCACAGCTGCTCCGTTCCCTGCAATAAGTTCCATCGTGAAAACCACCCACCAGACCCCCAACCGTCTTCTCCAGCCCTAGAACCGACGCCCGCTGCTGCGCCGGCTGTCGAAGGGCCACCGAACCCGTTCCGTACCTTGAGCGACTCAGACCAGCTCCGGTACCTCTTCCGTCGCTACCCCAACCTGGCCGACCAGCTACTTGCTATTGGCGCCAAGGCGGATCCGCCGCCGGGCGAGGCGCCGCCGACGACCTTCAGCCAGGTTATGGCGGCGCGGGCCGCGGCCGCGGCCGCGAGCGGGAAGCACCAGAAGAAGGAGCAATGGAACCACGACGTGGGGATCCGCAAGGGAAAGGAGGCGCTACGGGCGGCGCGCAAGATCGAGGGCGAGGCGGGGGAGGGCGTGAGGGAGTACACAGAGCTGGTGCTGCATCTTGTTGCGCAACAGGAGGCGGCGACGGCTGCCGCGGGGGCGCGGAACGTCATTGTAGACGGATCCTCAACGAGGCAGGATGCCGAGCTGATCAAGAGGCTGTTGGATGAAGATACCCGGTGATCAGGAAATTAGAGAGCGTGGCGCAACGAGGCCGACTTTGGCGCCTCGGAAGATGGGGAAGGGGTTCAGGATAGGCCTCTCTTTGTACGAGTATTTTGGTCATCGGCATAGGGCGGCGTTTTACGGGGCCAATGGCAGGCATCTGGTGGTGCCCTTTCTGTTCTTGCTCGTTCATCATCATTAAATCCTTTCCGATGTCTGGCTCCCACACTTTCGAGTATCGCATTCAGTCATTGTGTTCGTCGCGGACCTTAGTGGCTGACCTTGAAGCGCGCGAAGAACCCAGCCCTCGGCGACTTGAGCGACTCCCCCACACCCGCCGGCGTCCCCTTGTCGTCGCGCGCGTTCTTGCTCAGGCTCCCGAGCCGACCGCGCAGCGTCCAGATGGAGTCGGCCTTGCGCAGCAGCGGCGTCGAGCGTGTCTTCGGCCTCTCGTCGCTCTGCGTCCAGTCGACGCGGTGCTCGTTGACGTCATGGGGTGGCACCTCTGGCTCGTCGGCGGCGGCGGCGGCTCCCTTCTCGTTGGCATGGGGCCTACCGAGGAGGTCGCCTGTGCTGACCCGCCGCGCCGCGTCATCGCCATGTAGCTGCTCCTCCGTCGCCTGGGCCCCACCGACGGCCGCCATCGCGATCGGGCCTTCGATGGTGTGCCTCTGCGGGTAGCGGCCCTGCAAGTCGCCCGCCTCGCCCGCGGCGGTGGCAGCCTCGAGGATGCGATTGCGCTGCAGCGTCTGGCTGTGCTGGCGATCGTGGGTTCTGTCGTGAGGAGCGTGCGTCGTGCGAGCCCCGGACCTCGTGCGCGCCGGGTGGCTCGGGGTCAGGTCGGCTGACGTCATGGTGCTTGGGGCCGCGACGGTGAGCGGGTGCTGGCGCGGGATCGGCGGCATGGCGACGCCGGGGTCTGCCCCGGAGCGGTGGGACCTGGTGGTAGTGGTGGTGGTGTTGATGGCTCTGCGCGAGAACATGTGAGCCAGATCCTGGTGCGCCATGTCGGCGGCCGTCGTGGTGCGAGCAAACTGCGTGGCGGCGACGCGGGGAATGTACGAGCCGTTCTCATCCTGAAGAGGTGGTGATGTGGAATCGACTGCTTTGGCGGCTGTTGGTGGTTGTGACGACTTTTTCGCAACGGCACCTGCAGAGAAGGCGTCTTGTGGATGAGAAGAGGAGGCCGCCAGGTGGCTCAGGGCTGTCTTGGGGTGTCGCGCAAAATCCGTCTTGGGTGTGCGCCTCCTCTCGGCATGAGCCTTTTGCTGTGCGAGAACGATGGATAGTCGTCTTGAGAGGTCTTCGGGGTCAAAGGGGACAGGCTGCGACGGTTGCTGCGGTAGGCGAGGTTTCGGCCGACCTGTTGTCTGTGTTGGGCGCAGCAGGCGAGACTTGGCAGAACCGGGCTGGTCCTGCAGGGGATAGTTCATGTTGTATAACATGTCGCACAGGATATGCTTTCGTGTTAGGTGGGCGAGTGAGTGAGTAAGTGAGAGGTGGCAGTGGTGGGTTTGCGTCTCTGTCACATGTGCCAGAGCGCTTTAGCGTTTGAGGTTCAGCTTTTGGCCTGAAGCCCGGCGTAGGTAGTGACGGTTTAAAGTCGAGTTTGCTTTGTGGGTTGGTTTAGGTGAGGTGAGGCCTATGAGCTGTAGGAATAGGCAGGTGGTGGGAGAGTCGAAGAAATTGGACTTCCTGTTCGAGGCGAGAGGCAGGGAGGACAGAGAAGGGGGGGGTTATTATGCGTGATAACAAGAGTGTGGTCGGAATCGAGAATGCGGCGCACAACACAGAACGTGGGACACACGACGCAGGGGAGGTCCACCGAGGAAGGTTGTGCCGCCTTGACGCTTCGAACAAAAAAAGGGTAGGATGGAGGGGCCTTGAAGTGGGCTTCGTGTGATGTGTCTCTCATTAGCACGGGCGGAACAAAGCAAGCCAAGGTAACAAGGTAACATAGGTGAGTCGACTCACATGAGACCATGTAGACGACGACGCTGGATGGAGACGGTGTGTAAGTGATACGAGGAGGACACCAAGGGCTCAGGTCATGATGGACGCAGGGTGGTGGATCCGAGGGGAAAGCGCAAAGTCTGGACGGGGCCCTGTCTAGGATGAGCATGGGCGGCGCCGCTCCGAGGGAAACAGAAGCAATAGTTGAGTTGAGTTGGGTTTGGAAGAGGGAGAGGGAGAGGGGCTCACAAGCTTTTTGCATCTGGACCTGCCAACATTGATCCCTCTGCACCTCTCGCTCTGTCTCTTTGCTCGTCTACTCGCAGGGCAAGTGCCTACTCGCAGGGCAAGTGCCTACTTGAAGGCAGGCAGGTAGGTACCTACCTACCTTACTGTCCGCAGACCATATGCAGTGCACACCACCACACATGCAGACACAGTTGTCTCGAAGAAGCGACCTGCGTGGGGTGGGGAGTGCTCGACGCTGCTCGATTCGGCATGGAGGGAGTCATGGGTTAAGTGGGTTGGTGCTCGCGTGACGGCAGGTGTAGCTGGGTAGGTCCTGGGTAGGTCTTCGCAAGCAAAGAAAAAACCACACATTCGTCCAATGGAACCTTGCGCTGCCCTGTGCCGTGTCGCTTGTTGGGCGAGTCCGCAGGGGGGCTTGCAGGAAATGACCAGAGGTTCCAGGTCCCCCACAGTGCAAAGGCCACTAAAGCTCAACTGGAACCAGCCTACGGTCTCCCCCTATCGAAGCGCCACAAAGCCACAAACCATTCCCACCTCAGTACTCTCGCGCGGACGGGACGCTCTCTTCACATCAGTCACAGAGCCATCGCCTACGCCAAGGCACGTAGAGCTGTGATGATGGCCGCATCATTTCGCGGGTAGAACATGACAAGCCGCCGCACACTCTGACCCGCATCGCCAAGCTTCAGAGCGTGCTTCTACCACAGCAGGAGACCGACCTCGGGGACGTGTATAGTCGCGTCGGAGCTGATCGATACCACATTTAGTCTTGGCCCCCCCATTCGACTCCTGTCACCTATGCGCTAAATCCCCAGGACCCCTGGACTCATTTCAACGCTGGCCCGTCCTCACTAGGTCCCTTCTGCTGTATCCAGCCTGGCGGCGGGGTCATCTACTGCTGGCCATCTAAAACGCCTGCTCCCTCCAGCACGCCCATCCACAGGCACGTTTCAACCTCCACTGGTTGCGCTTTTGTCGATCCCACTCCGAGGCCGCGTGAGAGCACCAGATACAGGTGCCCTTCCGACGACGCCCGCAATCTTACCAGACGACCATCAAGCCCGTGGCACGGCCATCGTGCTCCGTGTCCGTTGCGCCTTTCGCGCCGGGAGCCGAGGTCAGAGCCAGTCCACGGCCTCGAGAATGCAAGCTACCTCGGGACACCATGAGCGACTATCTATTGAATCTGGGCTTAGCTAGACCAGCGCTCCTGGTCGAGTTAGCTCCGTGATGTCTGCTAACATGACGGGACCTTGGGGACGTAAACCAGCCGCTCTTTTTCAGCAATCAGTTCGACGGGCCTAGCCCAGACTCTTGACCTCGGTCCAATTTCACCCGTTGGAAATCGCCTCGTCCTCATGTGCAGCTGTGTAACGGGCGACTCAATTAGTTTCTGCCGTGGCCACCACACCTGGGGGGGGGTTTTGCCTCTCCTGCACGAGGACGGGTGGGGCCATCGATCTGCACCACGGCAGTCCGGGCGATCATCTACAAACACAACAAAACCTCCGATGGCTAACGACGGAGATGACGATCACCGAGGGCGGACTGCAGCCGACCTGCTCACTGTTTCCACTCGCCCTCACGATGGCGCGATGAGACCGGCGACATGCTAGCAGAACATCAGAACTGGTGCCGATCAACTTCCGAGACGCCGCTCTGATGGTAGAACCACACTGTGGCCTTGCTCCTTTGACACGAGGCAGGTAAGCCTGATCGACTTTCTGCTCTGAAGCGCGTGCGACATGGCAACGATGTCCATAGCAGTCGAAGAATCGAGGTGCCATCATTCATCGAAGCATGTATCAAGGCACAGCTGCTAGTCATGTATGCATGGCAGCCAACAAGACGAGCCAACGCCACCGGAGCGCACACGTGGAATGCTAGATCTAGAGTCAAGCCTTTGAGTCAGCAACGAGTAATGAGCCAGGAGCCATGATTCACGCTGCCTCTGCTTGAAGCTACTGCCAACGGTCGCTGGTGATTCAATCTTCGTCCCCAAGCTGGCGCTTCGCAATCTTCGATGGGCCATCACTAGCGCAGCCGCGGCCCTGGCAGCCTGCTGGTATTGAGAGTCATGATGCGTTTGTTGTTAAACACTAGATGCAAACCTCCTCGCCATCAATCTGCAACGCCGCGAGCTACCCGACAGTAGGATCATTACACCTGTGAAGCTCACTCACTCCTGCGGTCATACACGGAGAAATCAATAACGAGTGGCCTGAGCGATCTCGCATTGTCGCACATCTTTGAGTTCAAACAACCCACGACGAAATGGCCCGCGCTTGTCTCGCATACGGGCATGGCCAGATGAAGGACGAATGTTGGAGCCATGTTGGTGGATATTACCCCAATTGACGGCTCTCACAGCTGACGTTGATCTCGGTGCTGGCCAACCGCCATTGTTGGTATACGAAGCAGCCACTGACGTGTCTCCTAACGTCTGCATTCGGGTGCATGGTACAATCACGGTATCAAGAGCTTGCAACAAGAGCTTAAAAGCTAGATCTAGAGGCTGTTGAGGCTCGGAGTTTTCCAGGTCTCCGCAAGCGCGATCTAGCGGGCATCCGAGACCGAGACCTATGTGCTCTTTGTTCTCGATTCGTTCTGGTGAGAAGCTCTCTCCAGCGTGCGATGATCGTTTAAACCTAGATGAGCTGTTGGCGTGCCAGAGAAGCGCCTCGTGGGAGGTGCGGGTCGGTCGATTGCCGCCCGACGTCGGATCCGAAGGCTGCCCCTCCCCCCCTCGTTGGCGTGGCTGGCTCGACCAACGCTCACTTCACCGAACTAAACCAGGCAATAATCTTTGCCGTATGAAACGAGTCGAAAGGCTCAGACTGTGTCTCTCTGCTCGACCATGCGGTTCGAGCGGGGAGGTCGGGGTAAACGAGCTAACGAAAACCTTGGGCTCACCCTGGCGGTACGGCAGTTCCAGCGTAGCAGTACCAGTGCCGGGCATGATCACCGCCCCAGGCTGCTTCAGCCTGGCCATCGGCAAACCTCCTACCGCAGGGACGCCGCTGACAATTGACTGGAGGGATAACCTTCCGGGAACTCTGCCGTCCAACGGGAGGCCGATGAACCGAACATGGTGCCCCGCCGAAGGGCATGTTGTCGCGGAGAATGGCAAGATGATGGCCAGAAGCGGGCGTGAAGGTCTTGGCAGCACTATGATGTGCCATGATTGCTCGTGTCGATACGTTCTCTGGCTTCTCTTGCTGAGAATCTGCCTCCTAGTAGGGACTTGCCTATCCAGCTTTCAGAGAAACCGCAAAGTAGATTGCCTCGGGGCCGGCGGGAACCCCTCACTGTAGCACATCATGCAAACATGCAACACAGGGTTGCCGCGCCCCATGACGTCGGATGGCACCTGCAGACTCAAGGTGAAATGACAAGACAAGACTGCCACTCAGACCTCCTTCCTCAGGTGGAAGCACCAACGGAAGGCGACAGAAGCCTTACCTCATCGGCTAGTCCAAGCCACCAACGGCCAGGCAAAAGGGGTCGCCGTCACACCACAGCATATCATTGGACGGGTCCGTTATTTTGGCATGAACGTGAACGAAGCGCGAGACGTGAGGCATGACCAGTGCGACACACCTGTCCTAGGTCCTGCCTGGCCCGATGGTCATGGCAGGCAGGAGTTGATAAGGCGGGTTAGATAGACAGCAAAGTACCTACCTAGGCAGGTAGGTAGGTATGTAGACAGGCAGGAACCTCCCGACTCAGGCAAAAAGTGCCCGTCGTTTTGCTGGAGACTCGTTAGCGGAACATCGGTCCAGTCCAAGCTCCCTGACCGCATCAGACCTGATATACCTACCTACCTGCTGCCCTCGTACCCAGTTCAATGCGAGGCGACGACGCTTCTCCGCCTTCACCTTTTCTTATCCCAATCTGCTCGGGACCACACATCCTCTCCCTTTTTTTCTGTGTTTCTGCCCCTCGCATCCATCCCAGCGCCTGTTCGTCGAGTCTCACTTGTTGTCGTCGTGACGGCTGCGGCGCCACGAACCCTTTGAGAACACGCAACTGCCAACCGGACCCCTTCCCCCCCCCCCTCCTCGCCGACGACACCCCTTCTGCCCCGACGCAATTGGGCCACGACTGGTCCCCTAGTCTCAGAAGTGCCTATTCGGGGTGCACTGCAACTCGCCCGCACCCGCACCAGACACAGTCCGTCTCCCTGTTACTCAACCGAACACCTTGCTTTCTGCGGCACCCTTGGCCCTGGCGATACACAATCAAGTCGAGACGCATCAACAGGCGCCCCCGACATCACTGCCACGCCCTTTTCCAGTTGCCGCCAAAAAAAAAAAGTTCTCGCGCGGTGCCGGACTGGTCCCTGCCCCCCCTCGAAAGCGAACCCCCCCCCCCAGCTTGACGTCCGCCATTCCGTCACATCTCAACGCCCACACGGCCCGGCCTGGTCTGGCAGGCCAGGAAGCAAGCAACCAAGCCCGTATGCGCATAGGTGGAACCCAACAACCATAACCACAGTTCTGGACCGCCAAAGAGATCTAACCAGACCAGGGCTTCCACCCATCCTGCGCTGTCTGAGGCTCTGCGTCGCCGACCGACTTCAATCCCATCCTGACATCACTTAGTCAGGCGAACCCACCACCAACGGCCTGCAGCTGGTCTCCCTCAATAGAGAAACCAGTGTGCCTCACTTCTCCCCCTTCTCTTGTACGTGCCAATCTGCCCTTGTCCTTCTCCCCATCTGCCTCTGCACGCTCTGTCCGCACCTCTCTCCCCCCCTCCCCCCTCCCGCAACGGTCGCGGCCATGGCCCACCATCGTCAAGGAACCCGCCAGACTCACAGGAGTTCAGAAGGCGCCGGCTTTCCTCCGCGGTCCTCCTCACGCCTCGACCGCGAAGCCGCCCACCGATCCGCCCCCGCCGCTCCTCCCTCGCGACCCGCCGCTGCGCCCCCTGCTGTCGATCCCGTCGCACCTCGTCCCAGAGACCGCTCTGTCCTCGCAGCCGACGTCCCCGACAGCTACCGCGACTCCTTCACATCAATCGTTGACGATCCCTTCTTCCAGCGATTTGACGACCACAACATACGCGACCTGCAGCTGTTCGAATCCGACCCATCCTCTCACGACGCGACCCCGATCCGCGATGACGACTCTGATGACCAGCGCTGGCCGCCACCTCGAAGAGAGTCCCTAACTATCGGACACACACCTCATTGGGTACGCCGTGCTGCCACGCGCATTCAGGCACACTCGCATGATTGGCGCTGACCGCACTATCTATGCAGCAACCAAACTCAGCCAATATGGATAGTCTCAACATAGCGTGCGTCATCCTGCACATGCAGAACCTCTCCTCTTCCCCTCGCCGTCCTCACTCAAGGATCCAGAGTCCGCTGACGCGATTCGGAACACAGAATCATCGGTGCCACTGGCGTCGGCAAATCTTCCTATATCCAGCGCGTTCTCGGCCTCTCGCGCCCTCCAATCTCCAATGCCTCGAGCGTCCGCCTCGTCGTCGATAACATGACCTTTGGCGTCACACTGCTCGAGCTTGATCTTGAATACTTCGACATGAGCCCGGCCCATCCCATACAATGGCCAAAACAGATCAACGGTCACATCGTGCCTCGCGTCGATGGCGCGCTAATATTATATGATGTTACCAAGGGGGAAACAATGAAGGAACTCCCCGAAACTATCGGTACAACAGCCGACCCCCTCTCCTCATCTCCCCTTTTGTAGCTCTTGGACATGTAACTGATATGACCGCCCAGCTGCTTTGACCAAAGCCGGCCTTCCGGCCGTCCTCGTCGCCAACAAATGTGACCCTGGCAACGTTCGCCAGGTCGACACGCAGCTCGTTGCCAATCATGACTTGTTCAAATCATGCGTTGCTACCTACAACCTTTCCTCCAACGCGCCCGAAAGAGCACGAGCCTGCCTGCACACAGTGGTCAAGGCGGCAGTCGCCAACCGCAAGGGTAGGATGCCACCGTCTCACCATCTTAGCGAACCATGACTGACTCGCGAGGCAGATCCTCAAGGGGCTGAGCCGGCAGCGTCGCGTCGGCGCGCGGCATCCACTGCTAATCTCGACACACTCGACGCACCCACCAATCGACCCCTCAGCCAGCAGAGCAAACACAGCCGCGCAAGCTCGGATCTGTCCCTGCTGCGTGGTGCGCCTATCGACCAGTACCGACCATCGTCCCGAAGCCCCCGACTGGCCGCTTTCAACAATGCCCAACCGGGCGCCTCGACCTTCGCAGCAGAGCCTTCTGGCGACGAATTCAATCAATCCGTCTCGAGTATGCTCCGGACGCCTGGAATTCGACTAGACCGAGCGCCGAACGACTCCTTCTTGGACATGGACGAATCAGACGCCGAATCACGCAACAGCCCCGATGACATACCCATCCTGCAACGCAATGACGAGGCTCTCTCTGATAAGCCTGCCAAGGCTGCCGCCGGCGTGTCATTTGGTGAGCTCGTCGATCGGCTGATCTCGTTGAAGATGTCGAGAGCCGATCACAACTTTCTCGAGGTGTTCCTATGCCTCTACCGGAAGTTTGCCGCCCCAGGCGAGCTCTTCTCATCTATACTGATTAGGCTCGACCGCGTTCGGGACGACAAGACGGCGCACCACCTGACCAAGACAGCCACTCAGCTTCGCATTATTGAGGTTGTGGCTCGATGGGTATCTTTGTATCCAGGGGATTTCGCCCGTCCTGCCACGCGACGGAATCTGGAGGATTTCATACGCCATCTCTCCACAGAACCCATATTCTGCATTGCAGCGCGGCAGATCCGCCAGCATCTCGAACATAGCGTGGTGGAAGACGATGACACCGGTTGGGCCAAGTCAGATGACGTCGCTGACAAGGCGGCCAGTCGGGTTTTGTCCAAGGAAGCGTCACGCTCCATGTCGGACATCTCTGTCGGCGTGAGCAGCTTGTATCTGGACGACGACAAGATGGGCGACGACAGACCATCTGGCAGTTCCGACATCTTGCAGGTCGACAGGGTCAACAGCTTTGTTTCTTTGCAGTCCTTCGATGACTATGAGAGGGAGGCTGCCACCATGGAACCGACTGACGTCTTGCCCATGAACAAGTTCCGCTATCATATTTTTATGGACATTCCCGAAGACGACATAGCCGAAGAAATGACGCGGATTGATTGGGTCATGTTCTCGTCAATTCGCATTCGAGATTTCGTCCGGCACGTCAGCCTGCCAATTGACCAGCGCGCCAAGTGCAAGAGCTTGAAGAACGTGAATCGCATGATCAACCACTTCAACCATGTAGCAAAATGGGCAGCAAACTTGATCCTGCTGAGAGACAAGCCAAAGCACCGAGCACAGATGCTAGAAAAGTTCATGGCTGTTGCGGGCAAGCTCCGACGCATGAACAACTACAGCGGCTTGGCAGCGGTATTGGCTGGCATCAACGGAACTGCAGTGCATCGGCTGGCACAGACCTGGGCGCTGGTGCCGCCGGACAGGAAGCGGGCGTTTGCTAAGTTGGGCATCCTCATGGGCACGCAGAAGAGTCACTTTGCGTACAGACTGGCGTGGGAGAACTCACCACTACCCCGGATCCCGTACATCCCTCTGCATCGTCGAGATCTGGTCTCGGCTGAAGAAGGCAGCAAAACATTTATTGGCACGGACAGCGATCGGATCAACTGGAAAAAGTTCGAGGTTCTCGGCGAAATCTTGCTGCCCATCATGAAGAGTCAGAGTACAGCCTACCCAAATCTCACGAAGCTGGAATCAGCTCGGGAGCTCATCTTGGATTGCCGCATGCCCACAGACGATGAAGTATGTTGAATCACTGCGACGCTTGTGTTGATTTTGTACTAACAATCTGTGCAGGAGATTTACCAGCGCAGTGTGCAAGTGGAGAGCACAACAGGGGGGCCATCGGACCTGTCGAAGAAGAAGTTTCCATGGTTCGCCAAGTAGGATAGGCCGACAACGAGGGTATGAGTTGATGACGGCCATGTGGATGGAAGAAGTTTGACTGTGAGATTCGTACATATGGATTCAGCATATTTTCTTTCTCATCATTCGATTGTATTCTCGCGATGCCGGCCGGCAGGGCTCGCCGACAGCGAGAAGATGGCTTTTAGATATCCCACAGAGCAATTTGATCGGACAAGGCGTCCTCGGCGTCCAATCCTTTTCTTCTGAACCTCCTTCGACAGCATGGCACTTTTTTTCTTCCTCGGAAAATGGCTCCTCACATGTCGTCAGAGACGCCTATTTAGCGAGGTCCAGACCGGGCGACGGGCTTCCTGGGGGCGGTTCGCTAGGAGGTTCTTAATCGCTAGCGACCTGGGAACAGCGAGCCGGTGAAGAGCACGGGCAGGCAAGGGTGGCATGGGCACATGGAACTTGCAGCCCACTGTAACGTCTCCATCGAGGCTCTGCGGCTCTGGGATGTGTCCAAACGGAAGGGCTGGCAGGTTGGCAGGCTGGCTGACTGGCTCACGCTCGAGTGGCAGACAAGGCGTGAACATGCGTGACAAGCACGTTTCGTAGCTTCTGGCTTCTAGCAGGTGCATCGCCGATCGCAGTCTTGGTATCGACGATGGATGGGTGGGACCTACGTCCGTCCCTTGTCAACCCATGGCGCGGCCCTGGCTTGTGGCCTTGTGTGGCGCACTTCAGAGGGGATGTGCCTGCCCAAGCCCGGTCGATGAGCATGCCTGCCGGTGTTAGTGCAGCGCGAAATACAGAAAAAAAAAATCCATCGCAGGTGGCTTGTGGTGCCGTGCTCGGGGCCCGCAGAGCGCAGAGGAGGCCGCCCCTGCACACCAAAGTCGAACCGGGTTGGATTGGACGCGGGCGGGTTTCAGCAGCTGGTCGGTGTCGTATCTCTGGCGCTAGAGGTACCTGACGTCATGTTCGGAGCAAGCTGTCTTCGATGCCATTGCTGCATTCCTTAGCGGAGGGGCAGGGGGCAGGTGGGCTATCGCAAGAATACTCGGCGCTACCGGAAGCTTTGCCGTGGATTGGTCGGCGAGGCATGTACCAGGGAGGTAGTGGCCGGGTGCGCCCCAAAGCTACCTTGCCTGCCTACCTACCTACATGGTGCTTCCCAACCCAGGTATTGGACCGCATTTTGCAGTTGCGGTGGGCAGGAAGTATCTGACAGGTCTTTTCTTTCCCATCCCCGGGGGAGGCTCAGCGGAGTAGCAGAGCAGGGAGCAGGGAGTAGAATCGGCAGGAGCAGGAACAAGAACAGGCGCACCCACACCATCGAGCTTTGAGCTCGAGCTTGGCGTGAGATGCAACTGGGGTCTGGGCAAACTTCACCCCGCTACCCAAGTGCTACTGCATGCTTTCTCTCCCCCTCCATCGCTAAAACCAATCCCCATGTGCCTGCCCGTCCATCTCCTTTTCCAATCCTCCCTACCCACCGCTCTCTTGGTTGCTTTCCCCTTGCACCTGTGTCACGATTAGCCTCTGGACCTATCGCCGTGAACGTGTCGTGACGTGACCTAGCAGGCTCGAACAGGCTAGACCGGCGGACTTCCTCTGTCTACCTCGCCAGTCCCCGGCGCACATCTTTCTCGTCAACCGTCTTTTTCCCTCTTCCCCCCTTCGACGTAGTCCTCTGCTTCCGTTCTCGTCACCCTGACCTTCAGAAGCAATACATCATGGTTGTGTTTGACGGCCACGAGTACCTGACCGAGGAGGAGAAGCGTCTCGGCCAGGACAGGAAGCGGGAGAAGTACTGGAAGAAATGGGGTCCCTATGTCGCGGAGCGCCAGTGGGCCACCGGTGAGAGCTTCCTCCTGTCGAGGCCCCCAGCGTACAGAGCCTCGTCCATTGGACCTTGCTGACACGGTACGATCTAGTGCGCGAGGATTACAGCCCTGACGGCGATGCTTGGAGTCGTACGTACCGCCGTGTTTGCGTCACTTTTCTTTTTGCTTTGGAGGTTGGCCCTGGACGCTGACCGCTCTGCAGACTTCAGCCACGAGCACTCGCGCTCCCGCGCCTACCGATGGGGCGAGGACGGCATCTCGGGTGTTTGTGATACACATGGCTTCCAGAACATCGCATTTGCGTTTTGGAACGAAGAGGAGTGAGTCTCCTACTACGCTGCAGCACGTCGTCTCTGGGACGCCTTGCTAACCCAGCTGGCAGTGGTTTCCTCAAGGAGAGGCTGTTTGGTCTTTCAAACCCCCAGGGAAACCATGGCGAAGGTGTCAAGGAGGCCCATTTCCACGTCGACAACACGCCGGTAAGTCAAAGCTCGAGACAATCGTGATTGTCATCAACAAAAGCTAACATTGGATCCCTAGACCGTAAGCTCGAAACACTCCCTCCCATGCAGCGCCGTAAAGCTCACACCTCACAGCACTCGTACATGAAGTTCCTCTACAAATACCCCCAGAAGAAGTTCCCCTACGAAGACCTTTTGGCTGAGAACGCCCGCCGCGGAAAGGCGGACAATGAGTATCAGATTATCGACACGGGTGTCTTTGACGAAGATCGTTACTGGGACATTTTTATTGAGACGGCCAAGGAATCAGATGACCCCGACGAACTCCTCTTCCGAGTTACTGCCTGGAACAGAGGACCCGACCCGGCGCCCATCCACATTGTGCCGCACATGTGGTTCCGCAACACCTGGGCTTGGGGCCGCGAGCCCGAGGACAAGAAGCCCTCTCTGGGCATTCACGGCGAGAATCAAGTCAAGTCCAAGCATCACTCCCTCGGCGAGCGCTTCCTCTCCATGTCGCCCTCTCCCGGCGTCGGCGCCAGTGGTGAGGATGTTCTCCCGAAGATGATGTTCACCGATAACGACACCAACTTTGAGACTCTGTACAAGCAAGAAAACAAGACTCCCTACGTCAAGGACGCCTTCCACAAGTACATCGTCAATGGCGAGAAGAAGGCCATCAACCCCGCTCAGACCGGTACCAAAGCCGCCGCTTGGTTCAACTTCAACGAGGACGGCGGTGTCAACCCTGGCGAGTGCGCCGTGGTCCGTTTCCGATTCTCCAAGAAGGACTTGCCCTACTTCGATGAGGGTGAATTCGACGATGTTATGGACCAGCGTGTGGCCGATGCCGACGACTTCTACTACAGAATCAGCCCGCTGCCCATGGCTGATGATTTGCGCAACATCCAGCGCCAAGCCTTCTCCGGCATGATGTGGACCAAGCAGCACTATCTGTTCATCTGGGACCAGTGGGCAAACGGCGATCCTACGCAGCCGCCTCCCCCGCCTGGCCGGAAAGCCGTCAGAAACTCCCAGTGGAAACACATGCACTGCGACGATATTCTCTCGATGCCCGATTCGTGGGAATACCCGTTCTTCGCTGCTTGGGATAGTGCCTTCCACTGTATCCCGTTGGCTATGATCGATCCCGACTTTGCGAAGAAGCAGCTCGATCTCTTCACTCGCGAGTGGTACTGCCATCCCAATGGACAACTCCCTGCGTAAGTCCGATTACCCATCCAACCTCCGCAAGACCTGCCTCTAACCGCTTGCAGGTATGAGTGGAACTTTGGTGATGTGAACCCGCCTGTCCATGCCTGGGCCACTTTCCGTACCTTCAAGATTGAGCGTAAGCTGTACGGCCGTCAGGATCTCGACTTCCTGGAGCGTGTCTTCCAGAAGCTGCTTCTGAACTTCACCTGGTGGGTGAACCGCAAGGATTCCGAGGGCAAGAATGTTTTTGAGGGAGGCTTCCTCGGCCTCGACAACATCGGTCTGTTCAATCGATCTGAGCCTCTGCCGACAGGCGGTTCCCTCGAGCAGGCGGACAGTACTGGCTGGATGGCGTTCTACTGCCTGAGCATGCTGAACATTGCCCTTGAGCTGGCGAAGCACAGGCGGACATATGAGGACATTGCGTCCAAGTTCTTCGAGCACTTCATCTTCATCAGTGATGCCATGACTTTCAGGACAGGCGATAAGGACGAGAAGTCGCTCTGGAACGATGAAGATGGTTTCTACTACGATGCCATCTCATGGGGTGGTCCCTGGATTCAGCAACTGCCGGTTCGCTCGCTCGTCGGTCTCATCCCCCTTTACGCAACGATGACGTTGGAGCCGGAGCTCATTAACAAACTCCCATCTTTCAAGAAGCGTGTCGATTGGTTCATCGAGAATCGTCCCGACATGGCGGAGCGGAACATGGCCAGTTTGCAAAAGCGTGGCAAGGGCAACAGGATCCTTCTGTCGATTGTTAGCAAGGACAGGTTGGAGAAGATTCTCCACCGCATGCTTGATGAGGACGAGTTTTTCAGCGAGCACGGCATCCGCTCCCTGTCCAAATACCACAAGGAGAACCCCTTCTCCATGGACGTCAACGGACAGAAGTTCTCTGTCGGCTACGTCCCTGGCGACTCCGACAGTGGTCTCTTTGGTGGCAACAGTAACTGGAGAGGCCCTATCTGGCTCTGCGTCAACTTCTTGCTTGTCGAGTCGCTGCAGCGTTTCTTCCTCTTCTATGGCCACGAGTTCCAGGTTGAGTGTCCCACCGGTAGCGGTGACTTCATGCATCTGGGTCACGTCTCTGAGGAGATCCAACATCGTCTGCAGCATCTCATGACCCGCAACGACGATGGCCGCAGAAGCATCAATGACGGCAATGACACGCTAGACTTTGATCCCCACTGGAGGGACTACCTTTGGTTCTACGAGTTCTTTGATGGTGACTCTGGCCGCGGCCTCGGAGCTACGCACCAGTGTGGCTGGACTGGACTGATGGCGCGCATGATTCACGACACAGGGTAAGTCTCATTGCTGTGACCTCACCAGGCAAGTACTAACGAGTATATAGAACCAACTGCCGTCTGCCTCACACCCCACGCACCCCCTCTGTGGGCATGGCGCACTACTTTGATGACGTTTTCACACGGAACACAGGCCGTCGCGGATCTGTGCATTCGATTCGTGGTATTCGCCGATCCTCTACGGCACGATCTATTGACGCAAGGAGTGACTTTGACAACGATATCAATGGCGACGACTCTCTCGGCAACTCGACTCATGACCTCGAACGTGAGCGTGAAACGGCTGAGGCCGACCAGCACATGCACCAGTACATCAACAGCCAGCTGGAGCGGTTCCGTGACGACAAGGGAGGAGCCACCGACTCGCAGCATGATGAGTATGAGGCAACTCCCTGATGACAGCCATGGTGGCATTTTTCTATTTCTGTTACGCATCTCTTTGCATGGGTTCTTGGGATGAGAGAGAGATGAGAACCAAAGTCTGCTTGCACTATTGGGTCATAGAAAAAGCATTCTGTGGGTAGAGTTGCGATTACAGAATGGACGTGACTACAGAACGAAGCCTAGAGGATAAAGAAGCATATATAATAATCATCGTACAAAGGCCATCTATCCACCGCAAGGTGCCGTCATTCGTGTCCTGCAAAGCCAGCAGCTTACATGATGGCCGAGACTATGCCACGGTATTAAGGGCCAGAGGCCACGCAACGGTAGCAAAGGGGAGCCCTTTAGCTAGACGTCGTCATCCAGCAAACGATATCTTTGTCGACATTTCGTAACTGATGCGAGACCTCGGACGTGACAGCCGATCTCCCCTTCTCAGGGCGGCCTGAGGCCAGATCTTAAGCACCGTGAAGGAAAGTCCCTCAGCAAAGAAGCGGCCAGACATGGAGCACACAGTATCAATCAGCACGTCGGACGAGAAACAGCCATGGGCTGTAGGAAATGCGTGCTTCTACCACAAACTACTACATATGCACAATCCCGCCCTCCAGCGTCCAGGCAGCGCAGGCCCGACACGCCGGCTGACGGGGGGAGGTGGGCGATCCTCTCATCGTGGACCCCGGGACCTGCTCGACGCATACCGCGGCCTCTGCCTCATGATTCCCGGTACGTCGAGGGTGGGAAGGAGGGACCATGTTTTTCTTTGACGCTGGTGCCTCTTTTGCCCCCTTCCTTCCGCGCCCGCGTCTCCAATTACCCGGCGAAACACACAAAATAAAGTTGGTTGGGTTAAGGGGGTGGTACGTGGTGGTGGTTTTACAGGTTGTCCGTGAGGAGCTTGTTCATCTTGGCGATCTTGGAGGAGACGCTGAGATCGATGGTGCGGTCGCCGACCTCGACGATGAGACCGCCGACAATCTCGGGGTTGACCTGGGACCAGTGTTAGCTTCTTGGTTTTGTCGTGAGGGCGACGGCATGCGCAAGGAGGGATGCATCCGGGGCCGTGCCGGCGACATGGGTGCATCCGACTGCGTAGAGGGATCTCTGTCTTGGCGACGTGACGTACCTGGTTGGTGACCTTGAGCTTCTTGCCCTGGCCGACGTAGGGGGACTTGGCGACGGCGGTCTCGAGGCGGTTGAGGGTCTTGCTGTCGAGTTGCTGCTGCCCGTCAGTGTCGCGCTCGGAGAAAGGAATTTTTGGGGTCGACTTCAACATGGGCAGCGCGAGCGCCGAAAAGAGACGACCCCGGACATGGTAGGGGAGGAGTGAAAACGAGAGAATAATCGGACATACCTGAGCAGAGGTGACAATCAGCTCGACCTCGCCCTTGGCGGCGGCGATGAGCTCGGCGAACTTCTCGCAGACGCCGGGCAGGATGCCGAGGCGGTTGTTCTCGGCGAGGGCGGCGAGGAAGTTGCTGACGGTGTCGTTGGCACCGCCGGCCTGCTTCTTGAGCTCGGCGACAATGGCCGACTTGTCGTCGGCGCTGAGGGTGGGAGCGTCGAGGATGGCGATGAGCTTCTCGTCCTTCTTGAGGATGGCCTGGAGCTGCGTCAGGGCCTTGGCGGTAGGGTCGATGGACGACGTCTTGACGGCCGCGGTGTACTATTGTGCTCAAAACGTTAGTTGTCAACTGGTTTTACTCTCTTTCGTCGTCGTCTTGGGAGGGGGGGGGGGGGGGGGGTGAAGCGCTTGCAGCGCAGGTCGCCGCGGCGCCGCGGCTTCGAGGCCCCAATTGACCTGAGCAGTCGGGGCCGCACCGAGTTTCGGACAGCAAGAGGAGAATGGGCAATCGTACCAGGGCAGTGGCGTAGGTGCCGTCGATACCGAAGACGGAGATGGGGGGCGTGACGATCTCGGACGAGGACGCGGCGGCAGCGTAGGTGCGGCGAGCGGCGAGGGGCCTGGCGACCGGGGCTGACGCACGGAAGGCGCGGAGGACTTGTCTCGACAGCATGACGGCGGTATTGAGAGGGGGTGGTGGGTTGATGGAGGGTGGGCTTTTCGAGGGTCGGAGAGGATGGGGGTCGTGGGCAGCTTTCGCGGTTTTCCAAGGTTGAGGTTTCAATTCGGCAATGGGGAGAATGGATGCCTGATCCTGTCCGACCCGATGTGAGGCATCGACTTGCCAAGGCAAGGGAGATTTAGACCACGGTCACTGGCAGCCGGCTGGCAGCAGCTTTTGCCAAGTGTCGCTCTCTCCACCTGCTATTTGCCCTGGCGCATTGCTTTTTGGTGGTGCTCATCACTCCCTCTTTCTTGTCATGGGGTTACGGTCTGACGAACAGGGCATCGTTGCCCAGCATGCATTCGACAGCCGCTGACGAAGTGAGAAAAATAAAAAGGTACAGTGTTATCACAATTGCGCCTGAATTGAGACCAACCCAAATGCCTGCACCATGCCGGCTGATCCCAAACCATGTCTTCATTACAGTCGACGCGACGAACAACACCCAACGCCCCAAAGCAGCCAAAGACCCATCCCTCTAATTCATGTCGCATCCCGTCTCTCATTTGATCTCGTCTTGCCATTGTGCTCTCCGACTCCGACTTCCATGCAGCACGCTCAGTCGCTCTCAATCATCTTCGCGGCGAGGTCACTAAGCGGGCCATAAAAGTCCTTACCCGAGTCCAGCTTGTGCTCGTCCACAAAAAGCACGTACTGCTTGAAGCTCGTATTGAGGTGCGGCTCGAGCCCCAGCTCGCGGATGACGGCGTAGTGGTGGCAGTAAATGTGCGCGTAGACACGGTACATGCGCTTGAAAATCTGACGCACCAGCGACGGGAAGCTCTTGGGGAAAGGGACGCCTGCGCAACGTTAGCGGCCATACCATCTCCTGACGAGCACAGGGCGGGGGCTCTCACCGATCCGACTGGGGAGGATGCTCTCATTGTCGATGGTGCTCTGGACCCACGTCATCAGGTGGTTGATGTAGTCGGGCGCCGACATCTTAGTCGGCTTCTTGTAGTTTTCGTTGTCCTGCCACAGGTACTCGAACTCGTCTGTTGCCTTCATCGGAAAGCACGACTCGGGCGAGCAGAACTCGGTGATGGCCCCGTAGAGGAGGTTGATCTGGTTGTAAAAGTCGACCACTGTTGGGACAGCTGTCAGCCGCGCTCTCCTCGCGCTCTTCCAGTATAAGGCAACCTGGACGCACTGTTGACCGCAAGCCACTCATCCTCGTCCTCTCCCTCGGGGAGCTTCACGGCCTTGCGCAGACTGCCGCCACCCAGGGTCGCCTCGGCATACTGTCGTAGGGCGAGGCCATTGTTCGGGCCACCTCGAATGGTGGCTCGTTGGCGGGCTTTCCTCGCGTTTCTGTCGTCGTGAATCCTGTCAGCGTCCACTATCAAGACGGGCTCTGGACACTGCAGGTCCGGGGCCTCGATGATGGTTTCCTCTTCCTCGTAGTAGGCAGGCGGGGCATCAGGCACTGCTGGCGGGATGGGCATCAGCCCCGTCCGCGCGCTGAGGTATTGAAGAAAGGTCATGTTGGCGCTGCTGGAGTGGTACTGACATGGTGTGAACGGGAAGGCTCATGACGCCGGCGGTCGTGGTGCAGCGGTCGAAAGTGATGTTGTCGTGCGGAAGGGGGGGGTGTTCGAATGGCTGCTCATTCCAGTGGTTAGCCAGGCGATTGATGTTCCAGGTCAGCGCTAGTCTCGTACCTCTGGAATAGCAATATCCTTTACTGACAGCAGTCGAGGGAGTAAGTTGGCTTGGAGAATGCGGTGGCGCCGTATTGGGAAATGCTGTCGAGTGAGTGATGCGAGTTGGGAATATTGCGACTTGTCGTCCTGCGGTCAAGGCCGGGCAGAGAGAGGAGTGGAGGGGCAAGGGAGCCATGTTTACAGTGTTTCCTAATTGGCTTGGTTGCTGGGGCCGCTTCCTCCAAGCCACGGCATACTACAGTGATGTGGCTGCCCTGGCTTTTTGTGGGGGTGGCGCTGACAACAAGGACTACATGGTACCTGGCTTGCTGGGCACCTCGCCTTCACCTTCATAAAGAAGCGGCCAGGACAGATGCTCAAAAGATGCAAGTCATCGGCCCTAGCAAGACTTGCATATGAACACGCCTCTTCCCAAATCCCGCCCGCTACAGCATCTCCCCAGAGGATGAAATCGAAGACACGACTTATGATGCGGCGAGCCATGCCTTCTCGAGCGTCTTCTATACCAGGCCTGTGACATGCAGGTTGGGATGAAAAGGCGCAGAGAACGAATAGATCGGCTGTAAGCAGAAGCAGACATGTTGCCTGTCATCACTTATAGATCTTGGAACAGCGGCCTGGTAAGATCGACGGCATTCATATACCCGCTTAGCCGCGTTGTACATCGCAATCCAGTGACGACTCGTCATCCCCGCAGTCCTCCCAACAGCCGATATTGCCGAAGCACATCTCCAATGCGCTCAATTCACGAAAGCAAGGTATATTGAATGGTTGCGTATGAGCACCAAGCTATCCAGCTCCAACCGACTGTTGAGATGCCGCCTCTTGATCCTGTGATGGCATCCTGTGACAGCATCCATGTTACCCATGTCACCACGCTTTCGCCGCCTTGGGCTCTTGGCTGACGCATCATCACCCACACGCAACGCAAGTTGACTGCCGGCTCAACCTTTGAATAGCCTCAATTCACGGGTGGGGAAATCCTGCACCAGTACAAGACCTAGTTGATCTTCCCCTCTTCTCTCCATATGCTCCGGGGAGAGGAGGCAATTGGGCATGGACAACATCGTTCTCGGCTCATTGTTCACCGAAAGCTGTCGATCCCATCGCTAGGCACGAGCCATACGACTCAAGCCCGTTTACCACCTGTGTGGTGTCGAACCGTAACGTATCATTGGCAGGACGGATTTTGACCTGTCCGATGGGCAGCATCATAACGAGGCAATGCAAACATAAAAGCAAGAACTACGCTGTTTAATTCAGTCGTTGCCAATTGAGTGACTTTGCTCTACTACGAATCAGGATTCAAGGACCCGTGAATTTGCAGCTCCCCCGATCATGCGGTCATTGCATGTTTTCTCTCTGCTCTGCACTCTTGCTGCAGCTTCCAACGGGGCCAAAATAGACAGGCGCCATGTCGTGCAAACGTTCAACCCTCGCCGAAATGCGAGCTCGCCGGAGACCCCTTTGCAGGTTGGCAACGGCAACTTTGCCTTTGGCGCTGATGTGACAGGTCTACAGACGTTCAGCCCCTTTGCTACCATGTCAACATGGGGCTGGCACAACTTCAGTCTGCCAACGACACCAGGCCAAACATCCATAGACGGTACGCTTCCGCGCTTGGTGCGTGTTCGTATCGCAGTAGGCTTGACTGACACGAGATAGACTACAATGGCACAGAGTGGTGGACTCATGACCGGCTTGTCCAATACAACATGCCGAACAAAAACAACGAAGATATCGCCAACTGGCTCCGGGAGAATCCTCACCGCATCAACCTTGGCTCTATTGGCCTCTCATTTGGTGAAGATGATGTCAAAGAGGAAACGCTCCAAGCCAAATCCCAAGAGTTGGACTTATGGAACGGGGTCATCAAGTCCTCTTTCACATACCAGGGCTCTGTCGTCGAGGTTGAGACACGAGCCGACCCAGACTCGGATACCGTGGCTATCCGCATCAAGTCTGAACTTCTCTCCACGGGCGGCCTGGGCGTCTTCTTCGATTTCCCCTATCCCGACAACAACAAGTTTGACGAACCTTTTGTAGGACTCTTCAACCAGACTGACAAGCACTCCACATCGCTGATCAGCTGTGGGAACCACGCCACGATCCATCACGATTTGGATTCCTTTGAGTACGACTTGGTCCTCGAGTGGAACGGCAAAGGCAAAGTCGTGGCTGCCAGCGATGGGAGCCATCGCCATACCCTGACCGTCGAAGGTTCCCATGAGCTTGAATTGACGGCCCACTTTGCGCCCTCCAAGCCGGAACGTCGTCCTAGCTATGGTGAGATCGTGGCCGCGTCCGAGGCATGGTGGCCGGCATACTGGACGAAGGGTGCCTTTGTCGACCTCACAGTAACCGACGCAGCCGATGCGATGGAACTGCAACGACGCACGATTCTGTCTCAGTACCTTGTCGCTGTCAACAGCGCGTCCGACTACCCGCCTCAGGGTTCGCGCCACCACAACGTCCACTGGGAGACTGATTTGCTGACCGCTGCGTAGAATCCGGCCTCGTCAACAATGGCTGGTTCGGCAAGTTCCATGTAAACGTCTCACACGTCTCACACCTATCTGCGCTCCGGCTGACAAGTTCTAGATGGAAATGATCCTCTGGCACCACGTCCAGTTTGCTCGCTGGGGCCACTGGGATCTCCTCCACCGCGGTCTGCCGCACGTCTGGGACCGGCTGCTCGAAGGGGCCTTTGAGCGCGCCGCCACCCAAGGCTACGACGGCGCCCGCTGGGGCAAGATGACGGATCCGTCGACCATCGACTCGCCGGGCGAGATCAACACGCTGCTGATCTGGCAGCAGCCGCATCCGATGTACTTTGCCGAGCTCGAGTACCGCGCGTTCCCGACCAAGGAGACGCTCGACCGCTGGGCCCGGCTCCTCGACGCGTCGGCCGACTTTATGGCCTCGTACGCCTGGTTCAACGAGACGACGGGCGTGTACGACCTCGGCCCGCCCATGTACCCGTCCTCGGAGAACACGAACCCCAACGTGACGGTCAACCCGCCCTTTGAGCTCGCCTACTGGCGCTTCGGCCTCGACGTCGCGTCCGACTGGCGCCGACGCATGGGCCGCCCGGTCCCCGCCACGTGGACCACGGTCAAGGACCACCTCGCCCCGCTGCCCGTCGTCGACGGCACGTATCCCGTCTACGAGGGCGTGCCGGACATGTGGGTCGACCCGGTGACCGTGTACGACCACCCGTCCATGTCGGCCGTCTACGGCCTGCTGCCGCCGCCGCGGTCGGGCGCGCCGCTCAACGAGACGGTGCTCGCCGAGACGGCGGCGCGCATCTGGAAGCTCTGGGACCTCGACGGCTCGTTCGGCTGGGACTTTCTCATGCTGGCGATGAATGCGCTGCGGCTCGGGGACGCCGCGCGGGCGGTCGAGTACCTCCTGCACCCGACGTTCCGGTTTGACGATGCTGGGTATCCCGTGGGCGGCACGCGCGTGCCGACGCCGTACTTTCCCAGCGCGGGAAGCCTGCTCATGGCGGTGGCCATGATGGCGGGGGGCTGGGACGGGAGCGAGGGCGCCCACTTCCCCGAGGCGTGGACGGTGGCTGTAGAGGGGTTCGTGCCGGGCCTGTAGTTGGGTCGTCCGCTGTGCTCTATGCTTCGGCCGTGACCAATGTTCTGTTCGTGGCCAGTTCGTTGTCAATACATGCTGAATGCCAGGTGGCAATGATTCGTCCAGAGCTTGGCAGCGCTCCTGAGTCCGTGACTGAAAGATGCCGCAAACTGCTTACCCGCACATGATGGTGGGCATATCTTCACCTTGCGTTTCGTCCAACATCATGAGAAGAACCCGAGACGAGCTTTGAGGGAACAGAGGCTGAATACTTTTATTTTCGACTGGCGTACCACCACCCCCCAGAGGGAAAAAAAAGCAGCCAGACGCAGGGCGGACGGCATTTCACAATATTCTGCCGCCCAACCCAACCAGCCCCCGTCGTCGCACCCACCCCAAGAAAAGCAGGGCAGGCATGAAACGATCTTTGATGAACATGATCATGTGAAGCTTCTGTCCCCTCTTCCCCGTCCTACTACTCCTTCTCCTCCTCAATGTCGCTTCCTCGTTGGTACCAATCGTCCTGTTCCAGTCGTCCTGGTCCCAATCGTCCTGGTTCCAGTCGTCCTGGTTCCAGTCGTCCTGGTCCCAATCGTCCTGTTCCAGTCGTCCTGGTCCCAATCGTCGCTGGCTCCCACCAGGCAGCTCAGAGGAGTATCTCCCCCATGTTCTCGCCCTCAAACCCGCTCCGCGCCAGCTTGCGCAGCCTCGCCTTCTCCTTGCCCTTGTCGGCGTCCTTGCGCGCCTCGGCGAGGCGGTGCACGACCTCGGGCTCGCCGAGCTCGTAGCCCGGCGGCGGGTCGTCGTCCTTGTCGAGGTCAATCTCGCCGAGGAGCAGCACGTTCTCGCCGCGCACGAGGAAGACGCCGCGCTTGATGTCGGCGTAGAGGCCGCCGCGCGGCTGCTGGTCTGGTGACGGCGTCGTCGCCGTGGCATCGCCAGAGCGCGGCGGCGACGGGTGCGGGGCGAAGACGCGCTCGACTGTGTTCTGGAGAACGAGGTTTGCTGCGTTGCGTGGTCTGTCAGGGTCCGTCCTCTGGCAGACGAGGGGTGTCTCCTCGGCTTCATGGCGTGCAAAGTGCGGGAATGTGAAGACTTGGAAGGGGGGAGAGGGGGAGAGGCATACCGAATTGGTCCCAGCTGCGTAGAACACCGATGAGCTTGCGACCGTCGCGCAGAGCGACCATGAGCTTTTCTAAACAAAACACGGCGCGTCAGTCCCATCCTATCGTCTCCTTCGCCAATGGCCAAGAGGCGCCCTTACTGTCGGTGAGGTCGAGGAGCTGGGCGGCCGTCGTGAACATTTGCGGCGGCAGCTGCTGCTGCTGCTGCTGCTGCTGTTGCGGGGGAGGGACGCCGCCGCCCAGGACCGGCTGGCCCTGGTGGGAGGGGTCTTCTATGGAGAGGTGCTCCATGCTGCTGTGCAGTCTATCTGTGTGTTTGCGATGATTTCTTCTCTTCGTTGGTTTTTTCCTGGGTTCGTCGTCGTGAAGGGGTTCCGGGATCAGGTCGTGCGCATTGGGTTATGCGGTCGCTGTGCTGGTGGGTTGGGATGGCGTCGTCGTTTGGCAGGCCATCGATGGATGGGTGGTGAGTGTGACCGGCGTGCTGTTTTCCTACAATGCCGGGCAGCACATGCTTGATGGTATGGTACGCGGTGTCGGGGCAAGGGGAGCAGCGGTTGCGTGGGCGATCGCGAATGGTTGAGCAACTGAAGTGAAGCCGTCACCGGAATCGGGTGGGTCGTCGGCGCTGCGTGTGGGTGCTGGTGCTGGTGCTGGGGCTCTTGCTGGTGCTCCTGCTGGTGCTCCTGCTGGGCGGCGCGTAGTGGAGTGCACGACTGCTGGCCCAGGAGGTGGGGCTCTTGATGCGCCGCCGGAAAATGCTTGTTGCCAACCCGTGCACCGCCTCGCCCGAGTCCAAGTGCGTGCTTGCGTTGAGATGCCTTGCGTTAAGGGAGGTACATTTGACCAGGCGAGCCAAACACCTGATGCGTTTTCACTGCATGTTGACTGGTATCACAATACTGAAGCAAAATACCATAGTACTAGGCAGCACCTTGTCTCATCATCTTGTTCAGCCTTCTAACCTAGTTTGTTACAATTTCTACAGTGAGGCCATTGTGAGTGGCTGTGCCCTCCACTGACGATCTCTAGTGCCACACTGCGGGGTCATCACGCGAGGGGGGTGGCCTGCGGCGGCCTGCCACGGTAAGGTACCTTAGGACGAGCTGTCAATGCTGCTTTCCTCACAGCAGCGAGCACCTGTATCCAGCCCCCCCTTCGCTGTCCACGCTGTCCACACTGTCCGCTGCCCGCTGCCCGCTGTCCGCTGCAGAGCCTTGGCCAGAAACAACCCCAGAACTCGGCCCCCGAACATGGGGATGCGGCATGCACAGCAAAAATGACTACGTTGCTGGGTCGTATTCGGTGCTAATGTGCTTTTCGCACCTTTCTATCCTCCATGTGGGATGACGCTCACGGCCCGACCATGACGCAGCGTCATGCTTCGACCTTCTCTTCTCGCCGCCGAGAATGCATATCTTGCGCGTTGGCTCCCCGACTCTGTGCCTCCCTGTAGAACAAGGAGGCCATGCCAGCAGCCTGGTGAAAAATAAAAAAGACTACAACCACACTGCAGCCCCCGTCCGTGATTTCTATGCCGCGCCAGCCCGGAAACGCCTTGATCCAGATGCATTGATGTTTGATTCATGTCTTTTGGGAGTGGTTAATATCGCACGCAGGATTGTAAAGCAAAATGCAACGGCCGGCAAGACCGTCAGAGGAGGACCTTGACACGCAAAGATGGTCGGTCTGGCGCGCCTCAGGGCAAAGCGCCCCGTGCGACTTCCTTCTTGGTGTTGATCTGGCGAGAGCCATGGCCGTGATGGTCGGCACCCGTGTTCCTCTCCGAACGCGGTATCGCCTAGAAGAGAGTGTGCGCTGATGTAACGCAACCATGCAGCTCGTCTTGCCCCAAAAAAAGGGGGGGAGGCAAAGGTCGTCCCCATCGCAACAGTGTGCCGTGGCTCAGTACAGCCGCGCTCGACAGGGCTCAACGCGTCATGGTACACCTGTTGAGAGCTTCAAGGAGCTCCGGCCGCAGCGCCAGAGCATCCTTGGCCTGCGCATACGTCATCCACTGCCGCTCCCTCTTGTGCGCTTCGGGCCACTTGTCTTCCTGCCGGGTCACTGTGGCTTCGTAGAACCGGTATAAGCACTTGTCCTTGCTGCTGCCGTGTTTCGGGGCGCGCGTGTCGGGTATGTCGCCGAGGTCGTAGTCGATCTGGACGAAGATGCCGGCCTCCTCCCAGGCCTCCCGCTCGGCCGCCTCGGTGCACTCCTCGTCTGTCTCCCAGCCGCCCTTGGGCAGCACCCAGCCTTTCCGACGTGTCGATTGGATGAGCAGCACAAAGCGCTTGTCCTCGGTCAGCGGCACGACGCCGGCCACGAGGCGCTCATTCTTCGAGTTGTAACCTAGGGGTGGTGTGCGTGTTAGTGGGGTTCCCCCAAGCTCCGAGTCGGCTCCAGCAATTTTTTTTCTGGCGTTACGGTGGGAGGGGGCGGCGGGCAGTCTTTGTTGGAAAGATGAAAATGCCTCGCACACTTACGCTGTTTACTCCTTCCTACACGCGACTCCATCGATTTTTCCTTCGAGGACGACATTGTGGGCGAATGTGTCTGAACAGATAGATTTGGATGTTTGGGCGGGCAGGCGACAGCTCAAGGTGGGGTGGGGGGAGGGGCGTGTTTGGCTGGCAGCGAGCTGTGCTGTACGGTGTCTGAATCACTCTCTGCCTTGAGTGGTTTGGCGGGGTAGAGTCGAGACGGTCTGTCCTGGAAGAAGGGCAGGCCAGACAGCGCTTTTTGGGGAGAGGGGCAAGGGAATTTGGGCAGAGGATTGAACTCTCTGCATGAAGCGTCGGGGTTGAATGCGCGACTCAATGACTTTTCAGCGACATGGTTGCGTCCGAATTCGAGAATTGAGGTCTGGTTCGGGTTGATTGGGTGGTTTCCTGCGATCTCAGAAAACGCCGATGGCCGCCGGGGTTGGCTGGTTGCTTGGGAGGGTTGGAAGAGTGCACAATGCTCAGGGAAGTTAGGGGGCCAGAGCTGTGATGCAGAGCGGACGGGTGATGGTCCAGCGGAGAGAAGGGGAGGGGGGAAAACCGAGGTGAATGGGGGGGGGGGGGGGGGGGCACCGCGGGTTTTCTTCAGAGTCAGGGTAGCCCGAGAAAGATCGCGGTCTGAGACGGGGTCAGATCTGTGACTGAGAGATGGGAAGCCGGAACCTCAGGTGGCTGCAGTGAAGCTTCGTCGGACAGGCAGGGCAGGAACCGCTGTGGATCCAGGGCGCCGTCTCTGCGTTCTCCAGTGCAGGAGGGGGGGAAAGTGTATTTCGGGGTGTGATGGTAGAGACCGAGAGAGACCACCCAAGGGCGAGAGGGAGGTGGGGGATCGCAAGGTCCGGTCTCGATGTCTGCTCTGATATGGCCAGTTTGTGTCTGGGATCCGAAGCCCCGAAGGCACAGAGCTCAGGGTTGGGTCTGGTCTGGAGAAGTGTTGAAAGAGAGAACGTTCGACGTCGAACAGGGGGGTCGGCCGCCGCAATGGCAAGGGGAGCTGCGACTGGTACTGGACGCGCGCAAAAAAAGTCGGGGCTTAGGGGGGGCAATGGGGACAAGCAAGCGAGCGAGCAAGGCGAGGCGAGTAGTACGCGTCTTGTCAAGTCAGGCCAGGCTGGCGGAGCTGGCCGGCAGGCGCGGTAGTAGGTCAGGTACGCTAACTGGTCCCAGTATCTACCTCAGAAAGGTAAGGTCAGGCAGGCAGGTAGGTAGGTGTGTACCTGGAATAGCGAGGTAGGCAGCGAGATCTCCGTGCCGTGGCTCGGTGAAGTGGTGCGAGGCGAGACAGGTCAGGTACGTCGAGGTGGGTAAGGGGGAGAAAGTTGCGAGGGCGGCGCAGAGGGGCGGACCACAGCGGCTAACGTTTTCGACGGGGTGCCAACTGAATGGATCTGATGAGGCCAGACCGACGTGGATCGAAAAGGGTGAGGAAGAGAAAAAAAAAAGTCCAAGGAATATGACCACGCGACACCTCGAGAGGCGGGCAGATGCTCAGCAACAGGGCTCGAGACGAAAATGGGCGAGGGGATCAAAAGTGGACGCAACGGAAACGCCAGGGCCAAGTCGGGTCAGTTCGAGTCGACACTACAATCCGAGAGTCGAGTCGAGGGGGTTCGAGTCCAGGCGGACGGATGCACGCAGCTGGGCCAACGGCGTAGATGGAACCAACAGTCGGAATGGGAGGAACGGAAAGGAACCGAATTTGTCGCTTTTGATGGACTTGGTTGGGTCTTGCTTGAGTCGAGGGAGTTGGCAGACGCCCTCGTGTCCACGGCCGGATACCAAGGGGCAATTAGAGTTGACTTTATATACTTCAACCTGAATGAGCTTCATGCTCGTCCTGCACCCGTCTCCCTCCCTGCCCCCGACGCGGGGCGGCATGGCCGGTACATCGTGAGGTACTTCACTCCGAGCGACGGGGACTAGCCTTGCCAGATGCTAAAGCCGCGATTGGGATGTGACTGGCAAGCAGGCAGGCGCGGGCGTGCGGGCGGGCAGGCAGGCAGGCAGACAGACAGACAGACAGACAATGCGGGCATGACAGGGCAGGGTGTGTTGCTAAGCTGATCGGAGGGGAAAGAGCGGAAGATGGAGAGCAGGACGGGTGGACGAGGGAAAAAATTGCGAATGATGAGATGGACGAGCATGAGGGGGGACCCTGTCGAAGGGGCATGGTGAATGGTGGGAATCCGCTGCGAAGCCCGTGTGTACCTGTCAGCCAGCCAGACAGGCGCGCTTCAGGCACGTGTGGTGACAGCTGCTGTCTAGTGGAGTGTTGACGATGCATCGCGACTACCGCCCTGCCGGTTCCTGGCCACTTCTGACCACTTCTGACCACTTCTGATCACCTCTCACCACCCTGCTAACTGGCCACGGATGAATCCCCCCCTCCTTCGTCCTCACAGACGGCCAGGCGTTTCAGTCCCTTGGCCGTTCAAACCCCACGGCATTGTCTCGCAGGCCGAATGGGCTGTTCACAAGCGTGGGGTTGCTGCAGCTGATCACAAGTCACTGCAGTCATGTTGAGCAAGTACATGTAGCATCGAGCCCCTTCTGAAGTCTTTGCCTACGGGTACCTTGGGTACATGACATCGAACAGGCAAGGTCACGCCCCTCAGACCAGAGGCTCCCCGGAAGGTGGGCCGTGCCTCTGACATTCAACGTCACCCCACGAACAGGCGTGGGCAGACTTGCATCTGCTCCATTCGTTCATGCTCTCGACAGATCTCCAACAGTCGTTTACTCATTCGCAAACTCACACTTCAAAATCTGGGCTCTTCTGTGGTTCCAACTATTCCTCGAAGAATGCCGACTGCCGGCAGCACGCCTGAATATGTGGTGACGTGACGATCCTCGTAAATGGGTCACGTGTGAGTAAAAATATTCCCTGAAGCTTGACAGTCCCTCGCATAGCTGGTTCAAACACCTTGAAAACGGTTCGTGCATTTTGGACTGTATGTGAAGCGACCCGGAAATGTTCAGAGAGGCGCAGGAAGAGAGCGTCAATCGGACCTTCCACACATTCATCGTAGGACCTGACGAATGACGTACTTCTCTCGTCACGTATTTCAATCTTCAAATCTGGCTCCTGTTGTCTTCCATGTCTTTTCCTCGAGCCATCGCCTTCACACGATCCTTACGCTTGATGAAGGTTGTTTCGCAAAGTCGACAGTGCACCGTCGCTCCTTAAGCGGTCAACGTCAGACATAATAGGAGCCAGCAGCCTCGGTTTCAACGGTGAGTTTTTACACTGACCTGTATCACAAGAGGCCAGGCTGTCTTTTAGAGATCATTCATTCATTAAGGATCTCTTGACTCTATCAGTCTGCTAGGCTCTCCATATCGCTGGCACTTGTCATATACAGCATCTTCTAGAAATACGCAAGGTAGTAAGGTATGTCCGTGAAGTGGTTCACGTAGTGGTCAGCGGCGGTGGCTTGTTTGTATTCAAGAGCTTACCAAAAGCAGCCTGATGATGTTTCCTTATGCCAGTTGCAAAGGTTTACCAGCCGCCGGATAACCAATTCCTCCTGTACGAGACGCAACTCAATCTCTTCGTGGCCAAGTTGTCGAAGCGACGATAGCACTGCAAGCCATACGGCATCCACTGAGATCCTGTTCTTCCAATGTCTTGCCTGAACTCGTTGATATTTCCTCATCGATAACTTTTGAGCATCGCCGCTTGCTGTGTTGTTGTCAGTGACTAACACGCCTTATTGGGTATGTTCTGGAATCCTTCAGCTACAGTCGGAACCAGCAAAGCGCGACGATATCGAGAACTCGAGGTCGGCACTATACAATTTGTACCCCTAGCCCGCCTGCCATGATAGATCCCAATCTGTGGTCTGGATTATCATGCAACAAACCGAGTTCCCCACCAGTCAACGGTGAATACGCATCCCAATATGAGAGTTGCCGTGACTTCCTCAGCAGGCAGAGCGCATTGGTAATATTAGAAGCGATGCTATCCTCGCTGCCCTTTTGCAACTCACCTCGTGATTTTTGTTTTCACTTTCCATCAAGGAAAGACTGCAGCCAAAGTCAAGAATGGGCCTTGTCTCCTGACGTGGCCTGCCCTTCTATCACCCAATATCCTTTGATTCTAAGTGCCCGACAACGCGTTCACAGACACACACAGACACACGAGTATCACTTTCGTCTGTTACTGTCAGACTAATTTGCATCACCATGGAAGGAGACAAGGAAAACAGAACGCAGAAGGTACAGATCTTTCTGATGAACTCTCATGAACAGCTGTTGACAACGCGGCGTAGTCCGCACCCAAGCGGTCCTTAACTCCCAACCGCGCCCTGTTCGACTCTTATGACGAGGCGCACCGTACGATCGCGCGGTATCCAGTTTTCCTCGAAGATGTCTTTGATGAAGAGTTCATGTTTTCGTCGTTTGCTTACGAAAGGACCATGACCAGTCCCCACGGGGTTCTTGAGGAGAAGACCCAGCCTCAAACCACGCCCGCCAAGGAAAGCAGGGCTTCAGGCAAGGAGAATTTCCCGCAAGCCACAAAGACAGAGGAAGGGGCATCACCTCATTACGATGACATCAAAAAGAGAAGTGCAGCACAGTCGGGATTTGAGGTCACACCTCTTTCTGGTCGTGGGAGTATGCAGCCTCTGGGCGATGCCTGCGCCCCTTCCCCCGTTCTACCCACTCTGCCACTGCGCCGTGAGGGAAAAGACAAACCCCAGAGTTTCAGTCAGGTTGTCAAAAAAACTGATATTCAAGATGACAAACTCCATGCTCTGGCCAAGGGCAGAAAGAGAGATTTCAGCACTGGAGGAAATAGTGATCCTGGCGATCCCTTTGGAGGCTTCAAGACTAACTCTGACCACTCGATCTCCGACATTTACGATGGGTTTGAAACAGACAGAAAGTACAGCTTCCTCTGCAGTCCTGCGGAGAAAGAGGTCTCGTCTGCTCTTCGTGAGGTCATTGGAATCAGTCAGCCCTCGTCTGGCCAGCTTCTCCGATTCCGAGATGATCGTACTCCGTCAACACCTGCCTTTGATACCGCAAAGTTTGCCAGCAGACTGCGAGAGGAAAAGCGAAAACAAGCGGAGCGCAACAAGCAAGGTGGAGGCTTTTACAACAGCTCAGCAATCGACTCGGCCTGGCACATGTCGGAGACTGAGATCAAGATACCCACGTCGCCGTTTCCCATTCACTCCAGCGACCTTGGTACGCCTGAGCCTGAGGAGCCCTGGAGTCATATTGACCTGAGGGATGGCGGCAACGATTCACCGTGGACTGCGATGCCGGCTACCTCAAGCGTAGCGGGTCATGCCCAAGATTGGGTCACAGTCTCAGAGGAGCAACATGATGATCCCCTACGCTCCCCTGTTGTCTCTATGGGCAGGGTGCTCACTGGAAGTAGCGTTGCCAACTACTCGGATCATGTCCTTATTGCCAAAAGGCCAGAAAGTATTCCTATACATGACCCCAGAGCCATTAACCCTAACCTTATGCCTTGGTGGGACAAGCTACCAAGCGCAGGAAAACCATCTCAGGTATCTCCCACAGGGCCACCAACCCACAGTGATGGTAAAAAGCCCGTCTCTGTCACACGTCAGGGTGAGTTAACACCCTTATTTGCGATTTCAGTTCTTTCCCCGGCTAAACAATACGCAGACTCTTGCCAATCGGGACTTTTCCCATTCAACCCTCGTGGTGTCCAGGGAGCTTTGAGCAAACTCTCCAGCACCGGACGACAGTCAAAGTACGAGCGCTTTGATGACCAACAAGGGCTTGAAATGCAGCCGCTGCCAACGGAGAAAAATAAGTCTTCACACAATCCCTTTCGCCGCGGGCAGCCCCGCCCAATTACGTCGTCAACTCAGACAGCGCCAGACGACAACTCGCAGGCTCCACTGTTCGCAGCTCGGCCGCTGAGCAACTACGAGCACCTCCATTTCCCTCTGGTGGCCCTACAGGATGCGCAGCGCATCCAGGGGTACCGCCGTGCGAGCGGCCTCGAAGACCAGACCACGTCTGGCAGGTCCGTCAGGTACCAGCCCATGGTGGCGCGCAGCTCGCAGCGCACGCTTCTCCTGACGCCTCCTCCCCGCACCTATGTGCGAACATCGTCTCTCTACAGCACTGACCTGCCGAACCCGAGTCTGCACGGCGGCGAGACAGCACGCTCCTCTTGTACGTTGAGTCCTCGCAGTCATTCTCGTGCCTTCCGTATTAACAGCTTCCCAGACTACGGCAACCGCTTGCGCCAGAACCCAGCCATGGTCTCTGGCATGATTTCAGGCAGCCCATCTGAGCGCAGGCCTGGAAACCCAGCCGCAGATCGCCTCTCCCGTCACAGCGCACACCTGACCGGCGGCCTGCGCCCGCGGCCCCACCTCACGACGCGCAGCATGACCCGCCGGTACCAGGAGGGGACCGATCCAGAGCTGGGCCGTCTCGCAGGCAGCGAGAGCAGCTACCGGCGCCACAGGTCGCTGCCTCTCTCGCCCGAGGCCCAGAAGCGGCAGACGTTCTTCTTCCTGCTGACGGTCGTCATCAACGTGCCCCTGCCGTTCTGGGGCCTGGCCGTGCTGTATGGCAAGATGGACTCAGCCGTGTCGTGGTGCACAAAGGGGGAGGCGTACGGCCTCGCGGAGCGGCACAGGGGCTAGATCCGCCTGCAGCTCTTTGTCGAGAGCGTTTCGTACGTGACGCTGGGGGTTCTGCTGGCGATGTTCCTTCCGCGGAACTAAGCGCGAAGTGGCAGCGCACATCCCTCCTTAAAGAAGGGGGCGTTGGATCATGTGGGAGTCGGTGGTTTGTGGTTTTATTTTCTTGCTTTTTCGACCTTTTTCGTGCTTTTCGTGCTTTGTTGTGGTTATTTCTCTCTTTTCTTCCCAGTCTCCGTCTAGACTATGATGGATATCGTACGCAACTGTTTTTGGCTTCGTTGAGAAGGAGCGCTCGGCCTCATCGGGCTGCAAAGTGGAAAGGGAGGGCTGGATATTGTTACTGCTTTGAAGTCGAGACCAGGCCTCGTTGGCCACGGTTGTGGAAAGAAGCCCGAGTCAGGAAAAGTCAGCTCCGGGAGAGTATATGAACATGCAGAGTTCATGTTCTGCAGCAGCGTCGGCCTCTTTGCTGCCATGCGATTATCGATGCTGCGTCTGCACACTTGTTAAAATAAAGGCCAGACGACAGAGCTTCACTGCAGGTAGAAGAAACCAAAGAGAGCAAACACAGAAATCACACAAGAGAGACAAGCGTGCCAGGGCAGAAATTGGTAGCTGCATTAAATTATTAAAAAAAAGCCCCGTCTAACAAACGACATGCGCCCTGCTGACCACCCACCCAGCTTGCTGCGGTGGTTTGTCCCTTCAGCCCCGACGGCGGGTCGAGGGTCCCTTCTTCGTGGGCGTCGCGCTCGCGGAGCCCGCAGGCGAGGGCGTGGCGGCCGCAGCGTACGAGACGGGCTCGGCCTTGCGCTTGCCCTTGGCCTTGGCCGAAGGGGCGTTCCAGTAGTAGACCATCTGGGTCGCGAGGACGGCGTTGAGGGCGAAGCCGGCGATGAAGCCGTAGAGGATGAGCTTGTCGTCGACCTCCTGGAGGGTGGTGAAGATGCGCGTCAGAGAGCCGACGAGGTAGTTGAAGACCTGCGCGCGCAACATGGTTAGCACGGCGACACACATGTGGGGAAACAGAGGGGGGGGGGGGGTCGAGGATCGTGAACATACAGTGAAGGCGCTCAGCTGGCCGGTGCCGCCCTCCTGCCAGATGGCGAGGATCTGGGGGATCTTGCTCGCGACGCCGACGACACCGGCGCCGGCCTGGAGGACCGAGAGCTGCTCCATGCCCACGAACTGGTCCGTGAAGAGGCTGCCGAAGGCGACGGCCAGGACGCTGACGAAGATGGCGGCGAGCGGCGCGCGGCCGGCATAGTTGAGAACGAGAACGGTGATGACGACGTTCTGGGCGGCGATGAGGGCTGTCTCGCCGTACGTGCTGAAGGGGAAGCCGTTGCGGTAGTTGTAGGCCAGCGAGACCACGTAGGCGGCCGTCTCGAGGGCGTAGGAGAGGACGGAGACGCCGGCGGGGGACTTGGAGGAGACGAGCTTCAGGATCTGCGGCACCTTGACGATGGAGGCGGCGGCGACAATGGCGAGGCCGAGGGCCTTAGAGACGGCGAGTTTCAGGCAGACGTCATCGGTGAGGGTAATGTCGCGAACGAGTGAGGTGTGGCACTGCTCGCCGAGGAGGGAGAGGGCGAGGTCATTGATGGGACCCGGAAGATTGTGTGTGATGGGTTGGAGGAGCGGGCGAAGAGTTTCTTGGAGGGCGTCCATTCTGGCGAAGGTTCTGCTGGAGAGCTGGAGAGCGTGGGGGAAGCGTCAGGAGGGGAGGAGAGACAGAGTAAAGGAATGGCGTTGCGCGCGCTGGGCTGTTGTATAGTGAAGCTGTGGCTTGACAGGGGAAAGGTTCTGGAAACTCAGTCGCGACACGTTGAAAGAAAGAACTGAGGAAGAGCTTGGGCCAATCGGCTGTTTTTAGAGAGAGGGGCAGGGGTGTGAGCACATGTACTTGTAGGGGACTGATCGAGCCCGTCTTATTCCCATCACCAACGTCGAGACCCTGTAGCTTGTGAACCACAGCATACATCGACAATTCACTCCCATTTATTGACGTTTCATTGCTCCCAGGACTACGCCCATCTACCAAGACTCCTGTGGCACCCCCTCCTTTCTTGACGCCGCTGCGAGCATCTATCTGAAGGCGTTACTAAGGCGCCTAAGACGCCTAAGCGAGCATTCTCAATAAGCCATTTTCAGGTGCCTCAAAACGATCGAAAAACCGGATCTCTCAAACGCAACAGCGTGCCTGCAGCCAGAGCCTGTGTTAAGATAATATCTGCCCATGAACGAATGCCCTTTCCCCAACACTTTTCTTCCGGTGGCTGATCCTGAACTGTGTACTGTTCATTCCTCATCTTTTGGACTTCTGCGTCTTCTTGTCACGCTGTTGAAAGGCGGTGATGATATCCTTGCACTTGGACAGACTGGCGCGGGGCTCCCAAGTGTTCTGACTCGCTGGAAAGCCCTTCCACTTGACTTGATAGTAGTGGACGCCTCCTTTGCGGTCAATGAGAGAGTCCTCGATTGACTCAACCTCCCATTCCTGCTCGGCGCCCTGTCCGCGTTTCATGGACGTCTTGGCCTTCGAAGGTCGTCCTCGACGCTTGTGTACCTTCGAAGCGGTAGGTTGAGGTGTAGGCAATTTGTTTCCGGTAGACTTTTGGGGAGTAGTCTGAGTGAATCTCACTGGCGAAGATCCCCTTGCCCTCTTAACAAGCTTTGCCTTGGTCACAGGGTCACTGCCACTGGCAGAGGGATGGAGCCGGGACGAGCGGCGGGGCTTCGAAGAGTCTTAATAATCGCGTGAGCATTGTGCGGGATCGTGAAAGGTCAGTGGACTCGAAACCTACCTGTCGAGCTGCTCGCACGTTTCTTCTCGGCGATGGGCCTTACCATCACGCTTGAATACTGGTCTTTCTTGCGAGGGCGGCCTCGTCCTCGCTTAGCGGGAGTAGGCGACACAGGCTGGCCCTCACCGTCAGTACTGCTGAGTTCTTCCGACTCGTCGGAACCGCCCTTGCCGTTCTCGATGCCGCTCGAAGCATGTCTACCGATAGGCCGGGAAGGAAACAAGCGCTTCGAGCTATGCTTCTTGGGAACAAGCAGTTCCCCGTCCTCTGGGTCAAGATCATTGCCATCTGCGTCCGTGTCAGCGAGCTTTCATTCACGTCTCGCCATTGACTTGAAAAATTGTGGAGGAAGAGGCTGAGCGAAATGCGACGCTTACCCGAAACACAATCTTGATCATCCTCACCAGAGATGAAAACATCACTTTCGGTGTCCTGAAGACAGGTCTCCGTACCGTTTCTTGTTGATGTTTTCTTGGTGTCTGCCGTTCTTGGGGCGGGCAACTTCGATTTCTTCGAAGGTCGACCAGCACCACGCTTGATAGGAAGGACAGGGCCCGTCTTCGGAGTCGAGGGAACAATGTCGCTGACAATGAGCGGTTCAGGTTCATCGTCGGAAAGCTCGGTCTGCGCATCAGCCATCGAAACATCGCTTACGTCTGATAGCTCGTCGCCGCCATGCTGCGAGAAGGATGGATACCGAGTAGCGACGGGCATATCGACGTTGATTCGGCGGTGGGCGGTGTGCTTGATGCTCTGGTGGCTGTTACTGCGTGATGTATGAATGTTGGTCTTGCGCTTCTTGTGTACTTTCCGATCGTAGTCTGCGGAGTTCTTTCCCGAGATGAAGATTGGCCGATCAGGCTCTTACTTATGAAGAGAATGGGTGGTTATGGACCAGCGTCGTTCTCGCGGCAGCGTATAATTTTAGGGCTGCGGGAAGAAAAGCGACCAAGATGGAAGGAACGAGGTATCAATGGAGAACGATGGGCTGAAACGTTGGGACGATTGTTGAGGATATTCTCGGACACCACCTGACGGGCTCTTCATTGTCAAATGGAAGGATGCGGAATACGTGCGGCAGCTTGAGAACTGAAAAGCTTTACAAATAATGCATTATCAATGTGAGAGCGCTCGTAGTGAAACTGACAGCTCAAGGCAAGACCTACCCTACCTTAGGTAGGTAAGGCACATACGGGGCAGTCCCGGCCACAAAGACCCAGCCAAGAACTATACAACAGAGACGCAAGGGACAAATAAAAAGCGAAAGTACACGACGGGCGATGCGTAACAGCCATAGAACAGTGAGAACTGACAAGGCAGACAATTTGAACTTTCAGGTTCAAGAACGCTTGCTGTGCATGGCGAGCCCGTGCTCCGAGCCCACAAAGCTACATGAAAACATCGTGAAACTTGCCGCCATCTTTCAGGGCCCCTCCCCTATGTTTCTATCTTAGGTGTGCTGATGCTGGCTGTCTGAGTGCGGGGCATAGGATCCAGCTTCTGGCACTGCACACAATATTTGCGATGAAAAGGTACAACTAGGTAGTCAATGAGGGATGCCGCACTGAAGTCAACGGAGCACATAGTCTGGTCAATTCGTCCATTACCACAGCAGCTGTCTAAAATATGACGACGGCCGATTGTATACTTGTGCGATTTCTGCAACAAAACCACTTACGTGGCGAACACATTCTTGTCCGAACAATGATTGCTCAGTCAGAGTCCACCTCTGTCACACGGTTCTCGTCCATCTCCTGGAACCGACCAGATCGTATCGCCTCTTCAACGGGGTTCTGGACATCAATAATTCCGGTACGCTTAAGCCTGTACCAGAGAATTAGCGCGTGACGCTTCGCTGGCATGTTTACAAACCTACCGTTCAAAAAGATCATAAAGCCTCTCTGCCTCTCTAAGCTTCTCGTCCTCTGTCATCTCGGGTAGTTCCACAACTCTCTCCGAGTCAAGGAATTGGCCTGTCACCGGATTGAACGGCCTGGCAGCTAGCTCGTCAGAGGTCTCGGCCATGTTCCCGGGCGTAGGGATGTTGTTCTTGGCCAGGAAGCCTGAGGCGTAGCCAAAGCCCACGTTCGCCACGAACTTGGACGCATCCTTATCCGACAAACTGTACAAGAGATGCGAGGCAACATCTCCGAGCTTTGGTGTCATGGGATTGTTGGACAATTTTAGAACCCTAGAGCCCAGCGACGTGCCTTTGCCCAGAACTTCTTCACGATCTTTCTCTGTCGGCAGTAGGGTGGCGCGGAGATATTGCTTGACCTCCTCAGTCGCGGCAGCTTCGACATAGGCCAGAACACCGACCAGAGGCGACAGAAGCTGGTCGAGCTCTCCTTCGGCGTAGATGCCTGGCTTCAGAGAAAGGTCGAGCAGGGTGACCAATCTGGCAGCGACGCGGCTCGGCTGATCCGAGGCCTCGGGCGACTGGGGGCATAATGATGACTGCACCTCTGGGTCTTCAAAATCCAGATTGAGCAGTGCGTTGATGAGGGAGCTGAAAGGCGGGTCGAGCGGCCTACTGGGGTTAATGTCCTGCTTCCAGAGCAGCGCAACGATCAGTGGGATAGCAGGCGTGAAAAGAGGCTTCCGCAAAGGGGCGAAGTGAGTGACATTGAAGAGCAGGCGAAGAGTTTCGTTGACAGCCATGTCCTCCATTGGAATGACGGGGCCGCTAGGGTTCTCCCGCATATGCTCCGCATGACGGGCGAGGTTGGAGATGACGGCACCTGCAAGGTCATGATCGTTGATCAAAGTAGGTAGATCAATGTTTGGCGCGTAGGTCGACAGGAGCAGGACCCTTGACAGCAGGAAAGCGTCTTCCCAGCTCTTTGGCCCCTCTTCCTTGAGCTGCTTACAAGCCGTACCTTCGTGGCCAAGGGTCAGAAACTCGCGCCTGGTGTTGGGCACGAGCAGCATCGAATTGGCCAGTACTTTCAGCGCACCGCGGGCAGTCGCTCTCTGCGGGCTCTCAAAGGCATATCTGGCCAAGGTTTTGATGCCCTGCGTTCTCACGAGTCAGCTCGACACTCAAATACAGCGATACTGGAGTATTCTGCCCACATTCGGCGCAAAGATGGGGTCAGCACTCCTCGGATCTCGGCCAAGCAGCTTGAGTTGTTCTAGGTAAGCCACGAGCTCTACCGTCGTCAGGGATAGCTCTCAGAGTCTCAGAAGCTGAAATTTTCACTAACCATTGACTGCCAGGGTCTGTGTCTCGAGGTTCGCATCAAGTTTGCTCATGAGCTTCTTGACGGCTTCAAGCTTGGCTGACGAATCCCAGTCAGTCATTGTCAAGGCGGACTGCGCCCAGGTGAGCGTCAGCACAGGACAAGGACGTACCCGGGCCAGGCACTGCTAGTTGAGAGGCCATCTCGTCCGTGAGCTTCTGGTATTTGGATGAGCTCGGCCACCCCATAGCAAGGTACCTTTTGTGTAGGGTGATGGACTTCTCCAATGAGGACGTCTCGGCAGCCGATGGAAGGAGATGCGTGGCTTGTGAATGACTGGGCGGCGGGGGGAGATCGTGGCACAGCACCCCGCAGCACTCGCCACGGGGCGGCCAAGACAGAAGCAGACAGGGATTCACGAGGCACATGGAGCATGACAGTAGGGAGACACGGACCCCACAATTCGTTAAAGTGCTTCTTAGTTTCGCGCGACCCTCGCGCGCGTCGTGAACGTGAGCGCGCCCGTGTCTTAATGCACCCTTGCCAAATTGCCCATGCCCCATCCAGCTTTCCCGTTACCCAGGCACCCAGGTTTTCCATCCTGAGTCGACCTCCGCACCTCCAAGCATCGTCACACTCGGTTGGACCTCGAAGCCTCCCTACATTGGTCCTCTGAGGTTCCCTTTGATTTTCGAACAGCATACTTGGATTTCTCGGATCCTCTCTGCTGGCGGAGTCTCTCCTCCACACCCTCCCTTCGACACACATGCTCCTGACGGCATCCTCACCACACTCTCTAGCCTGCTAGACAGATTGACAGCCCGCCCCCCCCCCTCTTCCCGCATTCTTTCGCAACCATGGGGTCTGTCGAAGCTTCTACCAGGCTGCTGCAGTTAGACGAGCCTCGTCCACCAACACCACCGCGGGAAGCACGCCTCGGTGCTGACACGAACGCCGCCAAGCCGCTCTCCGTGCGTGCGGCGTCTGCAGACTCTAGGTCGAAGCTCAACACGCCGCCAGGCCTCAGCACACCCGATCCCTCTACCAACAACACCAATCCAAACACAAGTCGATCAAGGAAGCGGGTTGGCTTCACTGCACTTTTGGAGGCGCCTCGAAACACACACGATAAGAAAGGCCGAAGATCCTCGCCGCCGTCGGCCAGCCAACCGAGGCCGGCCAAGGGCATCCTTAAGATAACAGCTTCTCCTAGCCCCCACGAACTGTCCTTGATGGCAGACGATAGCGATCTCCTGGGTCCTGCGAATATGTCCGACATGTTGGAATCAACCGTGAGGCAGCTTGCCGGAACCGACCGAGACGCCAAGACCGATGCCTACATGATGCTCGTTCGCGCTCTGCAAGCTTCCAACAACTTGCCCGACAGAGTGGCCCTGCAAAGCAAGATGGGTCTCTTTGTACAGTTTATTCAGCGTGACATTGTCGCCAAAACGCCTGCTGGCACTTCTGATTCGCCTCTTGTCAGCAAGGCCCTCACTCTTCTCGACACTTTTCTCTTCTTCCCAGCGATTGCTTCAACGATACCCAGCGACTTTGGCATTTTCATTGTTGACCATTGCATTCGATCATTCGAAGACCCCGCGCTACCCAAGGATCTGGCACGGCGCCTGATGCACGTTATGGCAAAGCAGGATTTCCCCCTGAGGGTCATGACGTCCGACCGCATCAAGAGGCTGGTGAGCGCGCTACACGCCATGGATGGCCCTTCAAGGGGCAAGATGGTCGTTGTTTCCCGCCTCAGGATCTACGCTCGCCTCATGATACAGACCAAAGCGTACATGACCGTGCATACCGAGTGGCTCAACGATGTCTTGACAGACATGTTGAGCAGCGTTAAAGACGTCAGAAACTCAGCTATCAAACTCGGGTTCGAAGCATCCTTTGTGTTTGGGAGAGAAAAGCTTCTTCAGCGCAAGTTCATGGACCTCCTTGAAATGTCTATCGAGGAGATGACCTACATCGAGTGGTACCACGCACAGCTTCAAGAAATGATCAAGGGTGATAGCCAGGACAAGGCCGCCGTCCCCAAGATATGGAGTGTCATTATCCTTCTTCTTCAATACCCCCTCAACAAGTGGCGTTACTTCAACCCCTCCCTAATGATTATCCAGAAATGCTTCAACGTCGCCGAGTCGAATCGCGAGGCCAATTACGCCTGGAATCGCTATGTCTACACGGCGCACCTCGACGAACCGACTTTCCACAAGGTCCTACCGACTCTCTTCATGCCGCTCGCCAGCCAGCTGAGCAAATCAACTGTCTCGCCGGTGAAGCGTGAGCTTGTCATGGGTGGTTTGTGTAACCTCTACTACTACGCTTTCAAACCCAATACAAACCCAGCCCACCTTGACGCCTACTGGGACGTGAGCGTCCAACCTCTCACAGATGCCCTTGTTCCATCGGCAAATATCCCTGACACGCTGGACCTCCATCTTCAACGTGCGACAGCGATCTTGATTGGCTTGCTAGACTCCTCCACCTTGCGTATCTGGCGGGATGACCGTATCAAGGACAGCCCGACAGCGAAGCCCGAAGAGCTGCCCGTGATTGATTCCAAATGGGTCCGACGCAACGCCCCACGAGTCTTCAAGGTCATCAGCCCGATAATGGACAAGCACTTTTGTCAACTAGCAGATCGAACAAGCTCGATCCACAAGCTCTGGCGAGCATTGGTGGGCTCAGTCGCCTTTGCGGCATCCAAAGAGATCAAGGTTTCGACCGACACCGCTACATTCGTCTCTGAGATGTTCGGCCTGCTTCTGAAGCACTGGCAGACTGGCATTTCAACAGAAGGAGACACGACTGAGACAGCGCGGCAATTCATTCGTGCTGTGCAGGAAATGGTCCTGACGGCAGTCGAATCCCTTGGCCTACTACCCTTTACCGAAAAGATGATCTCCCTGGGACGACTGAGCAGCTTTATTCCCGTTGCCACCCCATCTCATCGGCCTGGGAAGAACCTCGGTGATGTGCGTTCGCCACTACAGCATCTTTTCGGACTGTTCTCAAGACTGCCACCAGGCATCCCTGACGACGAAACCTACCTCGAATTTCTGCGCGCTGTTTTCTCGCCCTTCTTTTCGACCACCAAGTCGGCCAAGACTCGGTCTGAGCTCGCCACAGAGATGCTGCAGGCTGTCCCCATCTGGTCTCCCACCACATCTTTCTACCCTTATGGACCTTGGGTGCTCGCTTCGGAAAGCATGATCGCCGCAATGAGTATATCACAAAGCAGCATTCAGACCACCAGCTCGAGCGGCGATATCATTCTTGGACACGAGTACCGATCCATTGCCAAAATGCTTGAAAGGGGGTGGAAAGAGACACCTAATCTGCCACTCAATTACTGGAATGAGTTGTATACAGCCCTAGCTAACCGTGCGGTTGAAGAGGTTGGCGAGCCTGGCAAGGCCATTGGTGTGATCGAGCCATTAGCCAAGATGATCAGGGAAACTCTTCCCGCTGATTCGTCTATGGCTTTGCCACCCAATGCCTTCCGTGTTGCAACCGAGCTACTTTCTTCAGCAAACCATCCTCAAGATCGACATGCTCTGGAGGCAGCACGGCGCCGCGTATGGGGGACAGCTGTTACCGGGTCAAGAGGCCCATCGTTCGACCCTTTCGACCATCTTTATCAGCTCGTTGACCATCTTTTGCTGCACTTTTATGCCCTCGGCAGCTTGGAAGGTCTCGCTGAGGTCGCCACGCCTTTCTTTGAGGAAATTTCCGACTTTTTGCTCCGTTGCAACCCAGTCCTTGTCCTCCGCACAATCACCAACCTGGAGAGCGGCATCTCGGTCTGGATTCAGGACCAGCAAGGTATTTTGAGCAGTCGTCGTGATGGGGCTCAAACCGAAGCTGTAAGTGGACGTGGCTGATGAGACACAGAAGAAGAACTGACAAAGAACTAGGTCAAAAAACTTTGGACTACGGTCTGCAGCACGATACTCTCCGGGGAACAACCTCAACTTGAATCTTTTGAGATGCTGCTCTGCGCTGGCTTCGAGAGCAAACACCGCCAAATCGTGAACACTGCCGCTGAAGCGTGGAACCGCGTTTTTGAGGCTGCTGGTGATGTACAATACCCGGAAAGGCTGAAGGCTGTGCTCCTCTCCTCCCAGTCAGTTCTCGACCTGGTTCTTCCCGGCCTCCAGATTCCCAGCATACCCTCCGAATCCCACAACCGATCTTTTGTCGACTCCCAAGTCGACGTGCCGGCAGCGATGCCGTCGTCTTCGCGATCGTCTCGCCGGGGCGTTCTGACTTCATCATCAAAGTCTCGCCAGCTAGCGTCTTCGAGTCCAGCTAGGTTGAACTTGGCGGCAAAACAGCCATCAAGCAGTACCCCGAAAAGGACACGAAGCAGTGCCCGAAGCACGCCGAAGTCCCGACTGAGGCACGACGACTCGCAGCTTCACTTCACGCCCGTCGAATCCTCGCCACTCGCTGGGGCCCAGGAATCCCAGATTTTGACGGAACGACAGCAGGAGGTCCGGGAGAGGCAGAAGGATGCTGTCGCTATCTTCCCCGGCCTCAGGAGCAGTCCTCTGAAGCACGAGGCGGCGGCGGCCCAGCAGTCATCGTCCAAGGTGACTGCAGCCGAATCACGTAAGCAAAGACAACGAGATGTTACGCCTGAGGGACGCGTAGAGGAGGAGGAATATGTTATTTCCACCCCCACTCCTCGGCGTGGTCAGGCGCTAGCCATGATCGCCGACGACCAGGACATGACCGACCCTCCTTCATCGCCACCAGAGCCTCGCCCATTCCCCCTGTTGCCGCATCTCAAGACTCGTTCCAGCCTCGGCGAGGTCGACCAAGATTGGCCGATGAGCTCGTCTCCTGTGAACGGATCTCCAGTCGTCAGAAAGGAGCACGCCGCAGCCAACGAGATCCCTATTCTCGATATTACTGGCGACGAAAACCACAACCCATCAAGTCTCGACACGCACGGCTCGGAAATGGTCATTGACGATTCCTTCCAGATGGAAGTCGTTCCATCCAGTGTCGCTTCAGAGGCAAGACTACCAACACACAGGAAGGAAGTGGTGGTCATTGACGACGACGAGGCCGAGGATGATGACGACGAGCCGTCGACGCCCCGAGCCCGAGATGACGTCGATGATGTCAAATCCGATGAGCCTGACGTCTTTGTCGATGCGTTGACGAGTCCCCAGCAACCCCTGACCCGCTCGGCGAAGAAGGCGCTCGAGCGCCAAGCTGACGCGGAAAAGGACGGCTCCTTCATCATGAGCGACGGCGACGAGAACAGCATGCTGCGGCTCGTCGTTGAGCTGGACTCGCGCCGTTGCAAGCTGCCCATCAACCGTCACCCGGCCGAGTCCCCGTCCAAGCACGAGGACGTTAAGGAGGTCTTGGACTGCATCACGGTCGTCGCGCCCGAGGATGGTGAAGACGAGGAAGACGAGGCGCAGGAGAAGCCCCGCCGCAAATCAAAGTCCAAGTCCCGCTCGCCAGGTCGTTCGCAGAGCGTCGTGGAAATGTCCGCGCCGTCCTCGGCGAGTGAAACCTGCAGCAAGAAGAAGAAGCGCAAGAGGTCCGCGGCCGCGAGGGAGGAATCGACCAACAAGAAGGCGAAGCCGAGCCAGGAGGGCCTCCGCAGCCGTCAGACGTCGGTCCTCACGGATCGCTCGGCGGCCTCGTCGTTCTGCTCCGACAGCCACGCCGGCGACGCGGAAGGCCCGTCCTCGCCGGGACACCCCTCGACGCCTGCCAAGGAGACGCGCACCCGCAAGGCCTCGGTCACGCCCCGGCGCCGCAGCCGCAGGATCTCCAGCGACGAAAAGGACACGGACACGGAGCTCGAGTCGCAGCTCGCGGCCGAACAGATCGCCGCCAGCCGCAGCCAGTCGCTCGCTGTCGAGGAGGCCGTTACTCTCTCGACGTCGGTGTCGCGGGAGGCTTCGATGGACCTCAGCCACGACGTCACGCCTCGCGCTTCACAGTCCGTCGCTATACCGACCGTCGAGGAGAACGAGGAGCAGGACAAGGACGAGAGTCAGAAGCCCACCATGCTCGACTCGCTGACCGGCGTCCTGGCGCAGCTCAAGTCGGCCACGCTCTCGCGAGACGAGGTCTACAAGATGGAGGACGTCCTCATGGATATCAAGAGGGAACTCTTTGCCGCCGAGAAGAGGGGAAGGGCATGATAGGCTCTGCACCTTCTTTCTCTTTTGGCCAATCTAGTCTTCATCGCACCACGAGGAGATGGACCGAAATCCAAAAAAAAAACATACCAACAACAATAGTAACAACACGCAAAGACCATGAACAGGGAAACATGGGAGACACTGCGTATTTTGCTTTTCGGCGTACAGGCGACGGCGGCGGCGGCGGCATCTGAGCTCGGGCGAGGGTTCAGCAGAGGTTACTCTTTTCTTCTTCTTCTCCATTCTCCTCTTTTCGTTCTCCTTCACGTGTTCGCCCGAGAGGAGAGAAAAGCACTTCATAATTGTACATGGTGACGAAACGGTAGGGGGGCATACATACCAAGGGCAGGTTGGGGGGGATGGTCCGCCGCCCAAACCTAAGAATCACTCCAAGGGCAGCATTGTATACCTTAGATACCAAATTTGTATAGATGGTGAGCAGGCCTGTTCGGCATCAGGACATGGAGAGAAGCGAGGACGAGACGGAAGAAAGTCATGATCACATCCCATGCTTCACAAAAATCCTCCGAGTGATGACAAGTGTGCCAGCAAGGGGGTTGAAACATCGTCGTTTGGGTTTGTGCAGTTCTAGGATCCTCCCACCTCGACGCCAGGCATGACAAAGGAGACACGCTTGCTACCGACCTGCTTGCAGTCTCCACCTTCCAGTCATCATAGTCACCGTGCTCTGACTTCCTCGGTTTCTCCAGCTTCCCTCGGCCTACAGCTTTCCCGCGATTCACAAGTCTCCCACCGCGATGACCTGCGCAGCCTCAAAGGCGTCACCAGCTTCAAGCTTCTGCCAGCCCTTGACGGCACCGGCTTCCACACAGACCATGTTACGCCAACCATCATCGGGAGAAAAGTCGGGCATGGACTTGGCCTTGGCTTCCCAGGGGTTCCAGACAACGACATCGTCCAGGTTGTCGCGGGTCAAGCTGTAGAGCTTGCGGCCCGACGCATTATCGGAAACCACAACAGGAACCTTGGGCCCGCCAAGAGGAGTGTAGATGCGGTCTGTTTCGCCAGTGAGGGCGAGGTCGCCCGACTGGGTCTTCGTGGCAAGGGATTCGGTCTTGTCGAGGTATGAGGCGCCATCAAGGCTGGAGAGGCGGACGGCAGTGACATCCTGTGCAGAGTTGTTAGTGAGTGATGACGGTCGTGGGGCGTCATGTGGAGCAGTAGGGGGGGCGAGCTTACGGGAACGCGCAGGTAGGTGTGCAGAAGGACTTGGAGCTCGAATGGTTTGTCGTCTTCGTTGGTGATGACGAGCGATGTGGACAGGGCATCGCGGTCCAGAGTCACGCTGTAGATGGCACCGAAGCTGTATCCCCATGCAGCCTTGGTCTTCTCGTCAAGACTCGAAGAGGACAGGCCAAAGTCTAGCTTGACGCTGTAGTTGGTGCCGCTCTCCTCGGATGACTTGCCGAGGAACTCCCAGCGCGAGGAGCGAGCAAAGCCGTGCTGTGGCAGGTTCTTGGTGGCCTCGTGGTCGGGGGCCTGGCCGAAGACGGGAAAGACAAGGGGGATACCACCGCGGACGGGCTTGGAACCGTCGAGAGCGGCGGCCTCGGACAGCCACAGGCGGTCATTGCCTGCAGCGTCTTTCCAGCTCAGCACAGTGGCTCCGTAGAGCAGAACGGAGATGGATTCGCCGGTGGGGAGGACGGCATCAACGCGCGAGTTGTCGTCGGACGTGGTGACTTGGGCCTGGGGCGGAAGGCCGGGAGTGGTGGCCAGAGCCGTGGGCTTGTTGGGGCGGTCAACCATTGCTGCAGGCTTGCTGATGACTGGCGGGAAAGGAAGAAGATGGTACGCTGTTGCAGTGGCGGGAAATACGAGGGCAAGCAAAAGCAAGGAGCAAGAAGCAGAGGCTAAAAGAGCTGTGCTAATGAGGAGGGGTGGGCGGGTGAGTTCGTGAAGTCAGTATCAAGGACCGGCACGGGCCAGACCGGGGGGGGGGGGTAAAGAGGGAGGGTCGCGAAGCGATCAGGACTGAAAGGCTACCCTGGAACAAGGTAGGACAAGGATTGGGTGATGAAGCGGAAGTGGATGGATGGTGTAGTGGATAGTGAAGGGTGGACGGAGATGGGAAGCGGGAGTGGGAGCACCAAAAGGTCGATGTGAGGTGAGGTGAGGTGTGGTGAGGTGGAGTGAGGCGGATGGCGGGGTTGTTCCTGAGGAGCAAGGAGGGGCAACCGTCGCTGGGAGGAAGTACCCAAGCTTTGGCTTTGGGCGGCAGGGGTGAGGGAGTGAAGTGAGGGAGGGGCAACGGTCCCCCCCCGAGGGGCTTGAGGGCAGCAGCTACCGACTTCAGCCTAGTGAAGCACATCCAGTGTCATCGCAGCACCTGAAACATCAACCATATAGGTGCCCCGGTACGTACCCAACCCAGAGCACCGACGGCCGCCCTCCCTCCTCCCCCCCACCCAGAGCTGCCTAGCGACGTCTCAGCTCCCCGAGCTCCCAAGCTTCTTTATCCATTTCAACCCATCGTGACCTATATCCGACCTCACGTAATCAATGGGCAAACATCACTTTCTCCATCATTACTGCAGCTGTTCCCTGTATCTGGACGCCTTAGCCAAGCGCGGATTAAGACTCAATCTTGAAGCCAAGGCTATCGCGTCCGTCGTCGACCACTCTCCCCCACTCCAGTAACAACCGAAACAGGTACACCTCCATGTCTTCCCGTCTCAGCGCCTTGTCCGCCCACTGTCGTCCTGCCGTTGCGATCCATTTCGCGTCACTGACTCGACCTTCAAACTTAATTTCTCGCCCATTGACCGGTACACGGCCCTCCAGACCCGTAAAGTAGGCCAGCGTGCTGTGTAGCGCCTGGAACCGAATGTCCACCGGCACAAAGTGCACCCAGGGCAGTAGCCGCTCTGTATACCACGTCCGGAATATCGACGAAAGCACCGGCACGCTCCCTGATCGCAGCGTCTGCATGAGTCGCTTCGGCGGCGAGCTGTCGTCGTCGAGGAGCAGCACGTATCGATACTTCAGCGGCTCTCCGCTGTCGCCGTCCTGGCCCTTCTCGCCAAACTCGAGCCGTGCCGCCGCGCACCCGGCATCCTCGCACGACGGGTACGACGACACGCCAACATCGAACGGAAGTGCCGCATTGGCCTCTTGCGCATGCACTCTTTCGTGACTGAACCTCTTCGGGTCGCTCGGCGTCGGAAGCAACATCGTGACCTCGTCGCCCTTTGTGGCATTGTTGACCTGGTGGAGAAGCCTGTGCCGGTGATTGCCGTGCAGCATGTCGTGACTGATGACTTGTTCGCCGAGTTCGCCCCGCCAGTGGAGCTTGTCGATACGCGTCTTGAAGTCCCGGTTCGAATCCGCCTCGGAGTCCGTCTTGCTCGTCATGGGTATCAAGATGTCATTGAACCCATCTGCCTTGAAGCTGCCAAAGACAGGCACCAACGTTTGGTGTGGCGCCATTTTCTTGTTGGTCATGTGGAAGGCATGAAGCCTCGACAGGTCTGGTTGAGAGCAGCGTTCCAGAGAGGCTTCCCACTTCTTCAGGAAGTGGTCCTCCGAGTGACCGCTCACGCATGAGACGCAGAGGTCCCGCACATTCCAGTGCCGAAGAGTTCTCCCACTGGATCCAGCGGGACAAATCTGGGCTTCCATCTCGCGGAACAATGACGGTGACAGGAAAGCCTGGTGTACTGGCTTGCTACCAGGCACGTCAGGGGTCTGTCCGGCCGGTATCGAATCTTTCGCGTCTTCCGAGCGCCTGGTATTCATGTGATACTTTCCGTCTAGCGCCTGTCGCGGATGCTGCCCAAGATCCGACCAAGGCGTAAGCACACGCGGCTCGCCACTCAAGTTGATGGGCAGATCCATATCGGACAAATACTCGGAAAAAGTTCCAATCATCTGGACGAGGTCATCTAAGGCCTGGCGGTGCTCGTCCTCGGCCTTGTAGTTGTGCGTCACTTTCTTGTTAGCGACCTGGACGAGAGCAAGCTCGGCCTCGTTGGCGGCGAGGTCCAACGTCGACTTTCGGATGCTGTTTGGCTTCAGGGACCGGAAGGGGGCCACGTCATTCTCAATTTGCTGGAAATGGTCCACAATGACTGAGCTCTTTGCTATCGCAAACTCATACCACTTGTCAAAGTTCGGAGGGGGGTCTCTGCCATCATGCCGTGCCCGGTATTCCTGAACAGCCACGTTCAAACTCCTGCTCACGGATGCGTGGGTCAACCAGCGGTCTGCTTCGGTGCGAGCGTCGTATATAAACGTGTCGAGAGGATGTTTGTTGAGGACCTGATTCGTCAGAATGACGTAGACGGTCGATCCAATGATGGCAGCTGTCAGGACGAAAAGTAGGAACGCGCGCCTGACAAAGAGGACAGAGCGCAGGTTGGCCGTGTACATGAAGAGACCGAAGCCGGTCGCAGTCAGGATGAAAGGTCCAAGGGTTGCGATCTTTGCGCCGCCGTACGCATCCCCCACGGAAGACAACGCCTGGTAAGAGGTCAGAAGGCTGGAGGTGAACGTAAGAATACCAAAAGGCTTGACGGGACCGGACTCGGTGACCAGCAGGCTCAGAGAAATAACGAGAAGACAAAAGGTGAAGCTGTCGTTGATCAAGTCGAACAAGTACAGCCAGCCCAGACCGTTGACACCAGTGGGCTGGACGGTGGGGCGGAGAGTCAAGAGGATATGCATGGTCCAGTCGAAGGCCCCCACGGTCAACTGAATCCCACTGAGGGTTCGAAGGCGAGCCCTCGTGGATTTGGTAAATACGAGGACTCGCCAAAGGAGGACAGCAATAACACCATCAAGAACAAGGCCGACGACCTGCATAGAAACGATCCAGAATCGGTTGTCGAAGAGTGTCGAGCAAAAGTACGTCGAGTGAACCTTGTCAGCGGCAGCTAGGTATGCGCCCAGATTGAACAAGACGACGCTTGCGACCAGGGTCAGCCGTGTCGTCTTGAACCACTGCTGGAGCTCGTCGGCGACTGTGACCCAAGGGTCAG